GCTTCGCTGGTCTTACTTCTTCACCAGAGTGGAAAGGCTAAATTCCTCTAAGCGTCGTCCTTGAGGTCGTCCTAGACGTCGTCCTTGAGGTCGTCTGACCATAGTACAGCTTCGCTGGTCTTACTTCTTCACCAGAGTGGAAAGGCTGAATTCCTCTAAGCGTCGTCCTTCAGGTCGTCCTAGACGTCGTCCTTGAGGTCGTCTGACCATAGTACAGCTTCGCTGGTCTTACTTCTTCACCAGAGTGGAAAGGCTGAATTCCTCTAAGCGTCGTCCTTGAGGTCGTCCTAGACGTCGTCCTTGAGGTCGTCTGACCATAGTACAGCTTCGCTGGTCTTACTTCTTCACCAGAGTGGAAAGGCTGAATTCCTCTAAGCGTCGTCCTTGAGGTCGTCCTAGACGTCGTCCTTGAGGTCGTCTGACCATAGTACAGCTTCGCTGGTCTTACTTCTTCACCAGAGTGGAAAGGCTGAATTCCTCTAAGCGTCGTCCTTGAGGTCGTCCTAGACGTCGTCCTTGAGGTCGTCTGACCATAGTACAGCTTCGCTGGTCTTACTTCTTCACCAGAGTGGAAATGCTGAATTCCTCTAAGCGTCGTCCTTGAGGTCGTCCTAGACGTCGTCCTTGAGGTCGTCTGACCATTGTACAGCTTCGCTGGTCTTACTTCTTCACCAGAGTGGAAAGGCTGAATTCCTCTAAGCGTCGTCCTTGAGGTCGTCCTAGACGTCGTCCTTGAGGTCGTCTGACCATAGTACAGCTTCGCTGGTCTTACTTCACCAGAGTGGAAAGGCTGAATTCCTCTAAGCGTCGTCCTTGAGGTCGTCCTAGACGTCGTCCTTGAGGTCGTCTGACCATAGTACAGCTTCGCTGGTCTTACTTCTTCACCAGAGTGGAAAGGCTGAATTCCTCTAAGCGTCGTCCTTGAGGTCGTCCTAGACGTCGTTCTTGAGGTCGTCTGACCATAGTACAGCTTCGCTGGTCTTACTTCTTCACCAGAGTGGAAAGGCTGAATTCCTCTAAGCGTCGTCCTTGAGGTCGTCCTAGACGTCGTCCTTGAGGTCGTCTGACCATAGTACAGCTTCGCTGGTCTTACTTCACCAGAGTGGAAAGGCTGAATTCCTCTAAGCGTCGTCCTTGAGGTTGTCCTAGACGTCGTCCTTGAGGTCGTCTGACCATAGTACAGCTTCGCTGGTCTTACTTCTTCACCAGAGTGGAAAGGCTGAATTCCTCTAAGCGTCGTCCTTGAGGTCGTCCTAGACGTCGTCCTTGAGGTCGTCTGACCATAGTACAGCTTCGCTGGTCTTACTTCTTCACCAGAGTGGAAAGGCTGAATTCCTCTAAGCGTCGTCCTTGAGGTCGTCCTAGACGTCGTCCTTGAGGTCGTCTGACCATAGTACAGCTTCGCTGGTCTTACTTCTTCACCAGAGTGGAAAGGCTGAATTCCTCTAAGCGTCGTCCTTGAGGTCGTCCTAGACGTCGTCCTTGAGGTCGTCTGACCATAGTACAGCTTCGCTGGTCTTACTTCTTCACCAGAGTGGAAAGGCTGAATTCCTCTAAGCGTCGTCCTTGAGGTCGTCCTAGACGTCGTCCTTGAGGTCGTCTGACCATAGTACAGCTTCGCTGGTCTTACTTCTTCACCAGAGTGGAAAGGCTGAATTCCTCTAAGCGTCGTCCTTCAGGTCGTCCTAGACGTCGTCCTTGAGGTCGTCTGACCATAGTACAGCTTCGCTGGTCTTACTTCTTCACCAGAGTGGAAAGGCTGAATTCCTCTAAGCGTCGTCCTTGAGGTCGTCCTAGACGTCGTCCTTGAGGTCGTCTGACCATAGTACAGCTTCGCTGGTCTTACTTCTTCACCAGAGTGGAAAGGCTGAATTCCTCTAAGCGTCGTCCTTGAGGTCGTCCTAGACGTCGTCCTTGAGGTCGTCTGACCATAGTACAGCTTCGCTGGTCTTACTTCACCAGAGTGGAAAGGCTGAATTCCTCTAAGCGTCGTCCTTGAGGTCGTCCTAGACGTCGTCCTTGAGGTCGTCTGACCATAGTACAGCTTCGCTGGTCTTACTTCTTCACCAGAGTGGAAAGGCTGAATTCCTCTAAGCGTCGTCCTTGAGGTCGTCCTAGACGTCGTTCTTGAGGTCGTCTGACCATAGTACAGCTTCGCTGGTCTTACTTCTTCACCAGAGTGGAAAGGCTGAATTCCTCTAAGCGTCGTCCTTGAGGTCGTCCTAGACGTCGTCCTTGAGGTCGTCTGACCATAGTACAGCTTCGCTGGTCTTACTTCACCAGAGTGGAAAGGCTGAATTCCTCTAAGCGTCGTCCTTGAGGTTGTCCTAGACGTCGTCCTTGAGGTCGTCTGACCATAGTACAGCTTCGCTGGTCTTACTTCTTCACCAGAGTGGAAAGGCTGAATTCCTCTAAGCGTCGTCCTTGAGGTCGTCCTAGACGTCGTCCTTGAGGTCGTCTGACCATAGTACAGCTTCGCTGGTCTTACTTCTTCACCAGAGTGGAAAGGCTGAATTCCTCTAAGCGTCGTCCTTGAGGTCGTCCTAGACGTCGTCCTTGAGGTCGTCTGACCATAGTACAGCTTCGCTGGTCTTACTTCTTCACCAGAGTGGAAAGGCTGAATTCCTCTAAGCGTCGTCCTTGAGGTCGTCCTAGACGTCGTCCTTGAGGTCGTCTGACCATAGTACAGCTTCGCTGGTCTTACTTCTTCACCAGAGTGGAAAGGCTGAATTCCTCTAAGCGTCGTCCTTGAGGTCGTCCTAGACGTCGTCCTTGAGGTCGTCTGACCATAGTACAGCTTCGCTGGTCTTACTTCTTCACCAGAGTGGAAAGGCTGAATTCCTCTAAGCGTCGTCCTTCAGGTCGTCCTAGACGTCGTCCTTGAGGTCGTCTGACCATAGTACAGCTTCGCTGGTCTTACTTCTTCACCAGAGTGGAAAGGCTGAATTCCTCTAAGCGTCGTCCTTGAGGTCGTCCTAGACGTCGTCCTTGAGGTCGTCTGACCATAGTACAGCTTCGCTGGTCTTACTTCTTCACCAGAGTGGAAAGGCTGAATTCCTCTAAGCGTCGTCCTTCAGGTCGTCCTAGACGTCGTCCTTGAGGTCGTCTGACCATAGTACAGCTTCGCTGGTCTTACTTCTTCACCAGTGTGGAAAGGCTGAATTCCTCTAAGCGTCGTCCTTGAGGTCGTCCTAGACGTCGTCCTTGAGGTCGTCTGACCATAGTACAGCTTCGCTGGTCTTACTTCTTCACCAGAGTGGAAAGGCTGAATTCCTCTAAGCGTCGTCCTTGAGGTCGTCCTAGACGTCGTCCTTGAGATCGTCTGACCATAGTACAGCTTCGCTGGTCTTACTTCTTCACCAGAGTGGAAAGGCTGAATTCCTCTAAGCGTCGTCCTTGAGGTCGTCCTAGACGTCGTCCTTGAGGTCGTCTGACCATAGTACAGCTTCGCTGGTCTTACTTCTTCACCAGAGTGGAAAGGCTGAATTCCTCTAAGTGTCGTCCTTGAGGTCGTCCTAGACGTCGTCCTTGAGGTCGTCTGACCATAGTACAGCTTCGCTGGTCTTACTTCTTCACCAGAGTGGAAAGGCTGAATTCCTCTAAGCGTCGTCCTTGAGGTCGTCCTAGACGTCGTCCTTGAGGTCGTCTGACCATAGTACAGCTTCGCTGGTCTTACTTCTTCACCAGAGTGGAAAGGCTGAATTCCTCTAAGCGTCGTCCTTCAGGTCGTCCTAGACGTCGTCCTTGAGGTCGTCTGACCATAGTACAGCTTCGCTGGTCTTACTTCTTCACCAGAGTGGAAAGGCTGAATTCCTCTAAGCGTCGTCCTTGAGGTCGTCCTAGACGTCGTCCTTGAGGTCGTCTGACCATAGTACAGCTTCGCTGGTCTTACTTCTTCACCAGAGTGGAAAGGCTGAATTCCTCTAAGCGTCGTCCTTGAGGTCGTCCTAGACGTCGTCCTTGAGGTCGTCTGACCATAGTACAGCTTCGCTGGTCTTACTTCTTCACCAGAGTGGAAAGGCTGAATTCCTCTAAGCGTCGTCCTTGAGGTCGTCCTAGACGTCGTCCTTGAGGTCGTCTGACCATAGTACAGCTTCGCTGGTCTTACTTCTTCACCAGAGTGGAAAGGCTGAATTCCTCTAAGCGTCGTCCTTGAGGTCGTCCTAGACGTCGTCCTTGAGGTCGTCTGACCATAGTACAGCTTCGCTGGTCTTACTTCTTCACCAGAGTGGAAAGGCTGAGTTCCTCTAAGCGTCGTCCTTGAGGTCGTCCTAGACGTCGTCCTTGAGGTCGTCTGACCATAGTACAGCTTCGCTGGTCTTACTTCTTCACCAGAGTGGAAAGGCTGAATTCCTCTAAGCGTCGTCCTTCAGGTCGTCCTAGACGTCGTCCTTGAGTCGTCCTTGAGGTCGTCTGACCATAGTACAGCTTCGCTGGTCTTACTTCTTCACCAGAGTGGAAAGGCTGAATTCCTCTAAGCGTCGTCCTTGAGGTCGTCCTAGACGTCGTCCTTGAGGTCGTCTGACCATAGTACAGCTTCGCTGGTCTTACTTCTTCACCAGAGTGGAAAGGCTGAATTCCTCTAAGCGTCGTCCTTGAGGTCGTCCTAGACGTCGTCCTTGAGGTCATCTGACCATAGTACAGCTTCGCTGGTCTTACTTCTTCACCAGAGTGGAAAGGCTGAATTCCTCTAAGCGTCGTCCTTGAGGTCGCCCTAGACGTCGTCCTTGAGGTCGTCTGACCATAGTACAGCTTCGCTGGTCTTACTTCTTCACCAGAGTGGAAAGGCTGAAAGATTTTGAGTAGGGGGGCAACCCCCCGGGGGCCGGGGGGGGGGGGCGGTGCCGGGGGACACGCTTGCCCCCCCATTCTGAGAACTGGGGGGGGGGGCAAGCGTGTCCCCCCCCCCCCCGCCCCGGTTTGGTACGGCCATGTTTGTGGATTGTCGCGCGCACTAAGAAAGTCACTCTGTAAGCTAATCGTTTACAATTTCGTTCCAGCTGCAGCATCTGAAGTACGTCATTCTGTTTGCAAACAACAAGACAGGCGCACATGAGCTGGATGAACAATTTCTGGAAGAGACTCATGGTGTAAGCTAAACCGAATATCCATACTGCATGTAGGATGCAAGTTGTATTTGGCCCTTACCTGGGGGCATGGGTGGAGGAGAAAGAGAGTTGCACATTTTTCGTGGGCTCTAATAGGTGTATATCACAGGCTTGTGTAGAAAAGCAAATTGTTGTGTGTATGCTTATACAGCCGGAAGTTAGTCTGCCTCAGTGGGCGTCTGGTGTCTCAGCTGTAGATGAGCAATTTAGCCAGTGCGGTACTACCGCTAACCTGGGGTCTTTAACGTGCATCACGCAGTAGTGATACACAACCGCACGCCGGTACGATGCTCATTTATTTATTTACCCTAAGGGCCCTTTCGGGCATTACATAGGGGGGAATTCATACAAAAGGAACACGTTGGCAGTAGTGATACACAGAAAACAGGGAGAAAAAAAAAAAAAAAAGATCGAAACGGGCAGGGGCGGGGATTGAACCCACGATCCTGGGTTCTGCAGCGCGAGCTTTCGCTGCAGAACCCAGGGAGGGTTTTGAACTCACCCTGCGGGTGTTTTAGGGGTTTTCGGGTGTATGTGCTTAAATCACTGTCGTCGTTCGTCAAGAACCGGTGGATTTCCGAAAGCCGTAGAAAAGGCGAGGCACCCGTTGTTAGGACTGACAGACACGGGGTCAGCGATCGGACGCGCGCTCCCTTGTGACCTTTTTCGAGGATTGTTCTGTCCATGCGCGAACTATTCTTTCCTCCATCTATCGGCGGAAGCTGGAGTGTGCGTAGGAAGAAATTGTGAATAGGTGAAATGGCAAATGACATTTTGCGGCTGCTCCCCAAGACAGCACAGCAGGCTGTCTTGGGGAGCAGCCGCAAGGCTAGAAATAAAGCAACGTAGACTCGTAGAGTAGGTAGATTGACTCCGGGAACACATGGCAAAACACCGAACCAAGGTATACAGGAATATATGGGATGGTCCTCATTCGAGGGCAGGAAAGCTAACAGTAAGATAGAATTTGAGCTAAGATAAATAAATGCAGAACGATGGGCACGAAGAGTCCTTAGCTATTTACACGTAAGAAGTGTCGATTCAAAATAGAGAAAGCGGACTTGAAAACTTAGATCTAAATATATGGGCAATAGCAGGGAGGCGGATGAGAAGATGGAGTTTAAGAAGAGAGTTAAATAAATTGAGAGGGAAATATAGGAAGTAGGCATGCAGACTAAATCGACCTTGAAAATGTACATATCGGTCAATTGTAGGGGAAGCTCCTCGTTGTTCGAGGCGAGGACAGAAGTGTGGCGGACTAAGGCATATAGAGCTAGATATCATAAAGTAGATACGGTGTGTGGAGCCTGTGGAGAGGAGGAGGGGGCGGCTGAGCACTTGATACTTTACTGTTAGGGGCTTCACCATGTAGTAGCTGAAGAGGCGACTGGGGATTTAGGAATAGTGAGGGAAAAATAGACACGGGGAAGGTAGAGGTAACCAAGAAGATATTACCTGACTGGTAGGTCGAGGGAGGGATGAATATTTTCTTATTCCCTTCCGGGCGACCCGTAGGGCGGAAGGTGTGTGCACCCGGTTGCATAGAGGCGCCTCCGTCGTTTAGATTGTATATACTACATAGCTTTCAAGAATAAATCTCTAGATATATAACTGTATGCTAAATAACTGATAGAAAGGAAAAAAAAAAAGGACACTGGCTAGGTGGCACAAGCCGCCGCCCGATTCAAAGGATTCAGCCTCATCCATCCACCCATTCCTCTGTGCAACGAATGTTTTGTGTTTTTGACAATGTTAGCAGGGTGGACTCTCGTCTGATCGCGTTTTTTTATTATTTCTTTCAGAAATTTCACAGAGCGGAAAATGTCGATTACAAGAACGTATTAGCGATACGCCAAACGACGATGCAAAAATACTGGAAACTTCTAAGTCCGAATCCAGAGTTCAGATATTTGATAGTGCGGTGAGTGATTTCGCTAAGACGGTTTTCTGTTAATTTTTGCTTCGTCGGTTCATATCACCGGCGACGATATTTCATACTGCAGCGTGTGTAGCGAGTCTCTTTGAAACAGGGCTCGTATACTGGTGCCCTGATGATTGCTCCCATATATGGTTTAAAAACATCTATGGTTTAATAAACTGTTAAAATAATTTAAAAGATTTAAAAGCCCCAAAAACATGAAGATAAAAAAAACAAAAACACGTAGAACAAAAACGTTCCTTCTTGGTCTTTGAGTTTTCTTTTCTTCGTTTTTGAACGTTTTAAATGAACATAAACCAACTAGCTCCAACCAAAGTATTAACATAGAAATCATCCTATCTATGACCTCAATGAATAGTCAGCCTGTTGTTTACAACCTCCATCTCTGAAAATTAGCCCACCTAATCTATCAATCAATCGCTTAATCTGTCATTCACCCTATGCTGCATGTCGCAGCAAGAGAAAAACAAAACAAGTTTGTCCATTGTTTATGCGCTGCGCGAGGCAGTTCTTACAGGATTTGGTTATCGGGAGAAAAAACAATACGCTTGGCGTTTGAAACGTTTACGTCTAGCTAAAATAACATACAGCTAATCTAACTACCTAATATAAGCTGCACTTACAAATATCTTATGTCTCACAGCATAAGAAAAAAACGCGATAAGCGTGGCCTAGTCAATAGCCGTGTGGCTCGCTCGGGTTTAAATTCCGCCTAAAATTCTCCGATTTTTTCTTTAAGGCAAATGCATTACATTATGACGTGGAATCATTTGAGACGTACGGCGACCTTTAGTTCGCACCAGATGTTATGTTTTAGTCACTTTCATTCCAGCCCGACTTCACGTTTCACGTGAGCGTTGTGGCTTTGTTTCGAAATTCCCGTGCGAGGTCATAAGGCTGCGAAGTCATGACCCTATCGACTAATCAGGATTTTCTCGTCACGCCACCGACGCCGGCTTTACTGCGAAACGAGCTCCTTAACGCTGCCGCGTTAAAAATTGCAAATGCTCCGCCAGCAGCTAGACTTCTTCAGTACGGTTCTCCTTGTGAACGCGGGTTTAGTGAATTACAGCAAACATAAAATCACCTGGTCAAGTTTTGAAATGCTTTAACTACACCCTTCGCCCTGCAAAACGTCCCTTGGGAGCACCCAAGGGACGTTAGCGAAAAATGTAACGCGTTACCAGTAACGTCGTTTCTAGTGACGCGTTACCTTCAACACTGCGGCTCAAGTAATCAGACATTGCCACGAAGACGTAGAATCAACAATTCCAACGCGAAAAAGAGCACGGGGACTCACACCGACGCCGACAACATCGCATTTCTATGGTTTGTTTATGGGCGACGGCGAGCTTCTTGCCCACACTCCATCGCGCATGCGCGGCGCCGGTGGCGTCCGGTAGGGGCGCTCTGGTTTGTTCGCAAGCATGAATTGGTCTATATTTTGTATTTTCACAAAAAAAAAAAAAAAAAGATTTAGAGGTTTTGACCAGTAGTAAGGCCTCGACCAAAAACGTCATGATGTCTTCCCATATCGCGCGCTTTCGGCACCGTGGGTCGCCCCCGTAGGTGAAGGAGGTTTCCGCGTCGTCCGATTAAACTATGACGCACTGATATTTAGTTATTCTCTCCATGTCCCCTGGCTTGCCCTAACCCCAAGAGACGTGGAAACCGCAAAAAAGGTAGACGCTTAAATATGATTTCAGGGCACCTTTAAGGACATTACTCCAAAGTTGGTACGTTTGCTGCTAGCTGCTGTCTTTATGCACATAATTTATCGCTGGGTCTGGAGCACATAGTGAAAATTAGACGTTTACACTTCTCTGTAATGCAAAATTAGAGCGCAACTCTTGAGGTATTACAGCGGAGCTATTTTAGGGGCTAGTTTTCCCAAGATAGTGTCCACCTGCAAACAAATGATGTCACAAAACTCTAGACAGCTACCGCCACCTATGAGTGACGGCGGCCACCTTTCCAGCCTTTCCACTCTGGCTTGCCGACTTGCGGCCGGCCATTACTTCATTCGCACCAAAGTACAGCTTCGCAGGTCTTCCTTCAAAAAATGAAAAAGCTGAACATTTTTTTTTTAGAGCGCAGCTCTTAGGCGCCCGTTTCCGGCTTGAGCGGCGTCGGCGTCGCCGTCGGCGTCAACGTAACCGCGCGGTGCATTATGGGAAATGTCCCATAATGCACCGCGCGAGCCTCCCCGGGGTCACGTGACCTCGGGGGTGCACGTGACCCCCCGAAGTCACGGGACTCCCTTGAGGTCACGTGACTCCCCTGACGTCATGTGACCCCCTCCCCGAGGTCACGTGACCCCCCAAGGTTAGTTGACCCTACGCTGAGGTCGCGTGACCCACCCGATGACGTCATGGTCACTGATGACGTCACCGGCATCCGCATCGTCATCATCACTGATGACGTCATCAGGACGTCAATGATGACGTCACCGGCATCCGCATCGTCATCATCACTGATCACGTCATCAGTGACGTCACCGGCATCCGCATCGTCATCATCACTGACGACGTCATCAGTGACGTCACTGATGGCGTCACCGGCATCCGCATCGTCATCATCACTGATGACGTCATCAGTGACGTCACTAATGACGTCATCGGTATCCGCATCGTCATCGTCACTGATTTCGTCATCAGTGACGTCACTAATGACATCATCGGCATTGTCATCGTCACGTGACCCCCCCCCCCCCCCGGTCGGTTGAGCCACCCCCCCCCCCAATACCCTTCCCTCCTCCTCCTCAAGAGCTGCGCTCTGATTCGGCGTTACAAGGAGTTGTAAACAGCTTTCAATTCTTATTTAATTTTGTGATATACCTTGATTGGCGGCCCTGATTAGCGGCGGTGGTTACGCCGGGAGTGTAGGCAAGGGAAGAAAGGAGGATATGGTGGAGGCCCCGTTTTGGGTTGGCGAGAGGCCCTGTTGGTGGGCGGCGGCTGCTGAGGGAATTAGTGTGTCACATTATGTATATTTCCCCGCTAAATTTAAGTGGGGAAGTTGAATGGTTGTATAAGGTCACGTGACGTCGATTTCCTCCGCTAAATTTGGCGGAGAAACTGGATTGGTGTCTAGGTCACAAGGCGTGAATTTTCCCGCTAAATTCAGTGGTTAACCTAATTCGTGTAGGCGTCATGTGACATCAAGCTCCCGCTAAAGCTAGCGGGCAAACTCAATTGGGTCTGCATGTTCCGTGACGTCAGGTCACGTGACATCCATTTTCTCGCTAATGTAGCTGCGAAACTTAATTGGTTTGTAGGTTTCACGATATCAAGTTCCCGCTAATTTTAGCTGGTAACGGAAATCGTGTATATGTGACGTGACATCCATTTCCCGCTAAATTAATCGGGGAAGCTCAATTGACATTTTGGCTAGAAGACGTGAATTTTCGCGCTAAATTTAGCGGGGAAAACTGAGTCGAAATATAGGTCACGTGCCGTCAATTTCCCCAAGGTGTATAGGTGACTTGTCGTCAGCTGATGTCACGTGGCCTATATACACCTACAACTTTGCCATTGAAACTTTTGCTCTCAATTGAATATTTCATAAGTTTATTAACTAATCCTAATAAATTAGTTAATTGAGCCAAAAAAAATAGTCTGATTTGCTCCGAGCAATGAACAAACTTATTCCTTTAGTTTCGTCTTCTAAAATGCACCAACAAATATTCATATCGTTTTTTAACTTTGGCTAAAGTTACGTGGAACACCCTGTATATTATTCTATACTCTCAAAGAAACCTGCAGCATATATATAATAATAATAATATATATATATATATATATATATATATATATATATATATATATATATATATATATATATATATATATATATATATATATTACACAAATGTAGAGTCACTCTCTTCACAGACTGGCTCTGCACCCTCCTCCTCTTCCGTGTCCTCTTCCTCCTTCGTACCCTCCCCTCCTCCTCTGTTCCCTTCCCTCCTCCTCCTCCTGCGCACCCTCTTATCCTCCCCCGTGCCTTCTACCTCCTCCTCCCACAGCTTCCCCGCTAAATTTAGCCGGAAACGTGACCCCACGTGACCTCAGCCCTAGTTCAATTCCCCGCCACATTTAGCGTGTTAAACTGAATGGGTGTGTAGGTCTGTGACGTCCCATAATGCAACACTGCGCATTCAGTGCCCCCGCTAAACTTAGCGGTAAAACTTTCGTCACATGATCTTAACACCAGTTCAGTTTCCCCGCTAAATTTAGCGGGAAAACTCTGACTTCCCATAATGTAACGCGCGCGGTAACGCCGACGGCGACGGCGACGCCCCTATATCCGGAAACAAATGCCTATGAGCAGCGCTAAAAAAAAAAAAAAAGAAGTCTGCGCTATGACATTGAGCGTGACGTTTCACCATGTGGACGCATAGTGAAACGTAACATAATGCAGACAGTTTTTTTTGTTTTTTTTATTATGTGTAGACTTTTTATTAGCTTTGTTATTCGCCGAGCTTCCATCGTAGAATGCGGCGATTGGCTCTCCGGGTTCCTTGCGGAAAAACACGTGCTGTGGACTTGTTTTAGAGTCTAGAGATGCCAGATATACATGACCCGTAGGTCAAGACTCGAGACCCTCCCTGACCGAAATGTTTCTCTGTGTGTATTCTTGTGCAGGCACCCAATGGCGATGACTGATAACTACGGCAGCTACGACTACGGATCCAACACGATGTGTATGTACGATTTGTCGTAAAAAAGCGCGAGGATAAAGCTTTCTTCTAAATCATTTAAACTGTGTTTTTTTTTGTATTTGTTAACGGTGTTTTTGGTAAATTTGCGCAAAGAAAACATTTTCTACCGCGCTTTTGTTTGCGCCTCTGCCTTCTGCCACATTGCAAAAAATTTTAACAGCTATGTGAAGCGCCCATATGTGCAATTTACAATTGCGTTTCGCTAATGCGCGCCCCGCTAAATATCTAGCCATGTAAACAAAAGATTCGGGGATGAACTAGGATGAATACGCGCATTTTTGTCTTCCTACTTTGGACAACTTACATTATGGACACTTTTTGGGGGGAGAACGGGGGGCCCATTTGAAAGAGATATCACCTGTCTTCATTTACAGTTGTGGTCAAACACATGGCAGCCATGCTATTGGCAGCCTTGTACAACAAAGAAAGGGCGCTGCCGCAGTGGAAAATGAACACGAACTAACAAACGCGATATAGACACCACAGTGTGCAGGCTCACAGTTCCGTGTTCCCTTTGAAGGCGGAGAGGGAAACATACACCTCCGTTTCACATGAGACAGTTTTAGTCAATCGTTCCGATATGACACGGATAACAATACTCCACCGCTGCCTTTGCGCAAGCATCGTATGGTTATCGGGTATCTTTATCCGGGGTATCGGAACGATCTACTAAAACTCTTTTATCGGATCGTTGAGTGGGATGCTATCGGACTTGAGTGCGATTCACACAATCGCGTTGAGTCGAACCGAGTGCGAAGGTTGCTACGGCAACAGCTACATCGGCTCCAACAACCGGTTTTTGCCGGTTCCACAACCGGTAAAAAAAACGGTTTTAACCCCTTTTTGTTGGAGCCGACGCATCTGTTGCAATAGCAACCCTCGCAGTCGATAGGACTCAACGCGAGTGTGTGAATCGCCCTTTAGTGTGAAACTGAGTATATCATAAGCGAATGGACGAAAAGAAATAATAATGTAAATATCATATAGTACGCAGTGAAAGTATCACACGTTCCCTTTCGTATGAGGCGGGGAATAATAAGATCAAAAGTGTACATTATTGGCGCCGTGCGCGACCCAGAGCGTCTAAAAGTCATCGGCCTTCCATGGTTGGCCAAACGATACCACTATAACCTCTTGAGTAGGATTATTATTTCTGCTCTCATCGACGGGAATAAGGGCAAAGTCAGACTCTCAACTCTGACGGTGTTGGTTTGGGAACGTGACGACTATGCGAACAGCAAGTCGTCTGCTTCTTTCGCAGAAGTGCTGGTGACGTCAGATCGACGCCAAGCTCTTATTGGCTGATTGAAAAAAAAAAATAGTGGGTAGTCCTCAAGGCATTTAGCATTGAGCTCCGCCCACTATTTTTTTCACTCAGCCAATAAGAGCTCGGCGTCGTTCTGACGTCTCCGCCACTCCTGAGCAAGACGCAGACGACTTGCTGTCCGCATAGGCCCACCGCGCTTTTTAAGATACTGAACCGAAATTTCGAACTCACAAAACAAGGCTAGACAGATAGGTGGGACGATGCAAAACCCAAAAACATCACTCATACAGCGATATCTCTAACGGATCGCCATATTTTTAGAAAAGAAGCGCCCGACTGAACCCGGCCGACGAGGCCGACAAGGCCAGGGACGTCACGATTGTTATTCCCTCTCGTCCTCACTACGTCCCGTGTCGAGCTGGTGAACCGAAGCGAGGAGGAAAGAAGCGAGGCCGCTCCCCCTCATTCTCAAATTCTCCCGGAGGACAGTGATGTCAGAGGCCTCGCTTGATCGCGCCCTTCTTTTCGAAAAGTGCAGCCATCCGTTTGAGATATCGATGTACGAGCAATGTTTCGGAGTTCGTAGAGTCCCGTTCAACGCTTCTAGAGCCTTATTTTGCGAAATTCAAATTTCGGTTCAGTATCCCTTTAAGCACCATTGAACTTGTCGCTCGCTACTAACAGCCTTACAGCCTCGCTACTAACAGGAACCATAAGAAAGCGCCACCGAAACATCTCGTCGCCAATGGTTCATGCGTACAAATATAGGCTATGGTCGTAATTAAAATTTCAGGCTGTTAGAAGGATGCGGTAGACAAGCTGAATGGTTTGAATGTAAAAACCGATCACTATCGCAATAAAAACAAATGCACGCATTAAACGCAATGAGCCACTTTTCTTAGTTTACTTCTGCGTGACAATTCGAGTATTATGCAAGTTTTTCCTTGTTGTCAATCTGATTATAATTTCTCGCATTACAGACGTTTCGGGGGGACAGTTGAGGCCATACTACTTCAAAGACAGCTCTGTTTAGTAAGTATGGTAAGCTAGCAAAACGATGACTTAAATCCGGTTAGTTCCAACTTCCGCCCTACAACCGTTCAGAGGTGAAATACGGGCAAGGATGGAATGCCCACGTCCTCGAGCTGGATTTTGTAAAGGAACCGAGATATGGGAATAGCGTGTTATTAAAGACTTTTGGTAGATCGATCCAATCACTCTGTTAACGATACCCGATACTCCCCCAGCGCCTCCGCGCATGCGTCGTGTCGTTATCAGGGGTTTCGGAGGTCACCGGAACGATCTACTAAAACTCTATATTTTACGAGCAGGGTTGCAAGTTTTCGGTAAACACTGGCACATTCAAAAAAGTCATTCCCGCAAGGCAATATTTAACAACATCGGCTAAAAAAAAAAAAAGACGGATTGGATCTGTTTTTGATTATTTTGCATAAGGAAAACCTAAGGTTCGCAAGAAGAAATCTTCTACGGCTTTGTTTTCTGTTAAAGCGCAGCCCCGATTGAATTCTTCGCGAGGCTGGTTTTTTCTTCGGGATCCACACCCCTTATCTTGCCGTCTTCTCTTATGGGTACCGGAACGCTTTCTGAGTATTCTGGTCACGCGCCTCAAGGTTGGGAATCCACGTCCTTGTTCTGTTTAGTACCGAACTTCGGTCCGGCACCAATACATTGACGCCGAAGAACACGAAAGCTGTGTGGGAACCCCCCCCCCCCCCCCCCCTTCCCCTCCACCGATAAAACCACCCCCGAATTCGAAGAAAAATAAACCTCGAAAACACGGCACCCTATATTTATGAAAAATGGCTCGTAGTACGCTGCGGTCTGTAGTCCCGGCGAATTACGGAGCGCATGCTTAGAATCCCTTGTATGGAAAAGGCAAACCGACTTTTTAAGTCTGTTGTAGTTTAAGCCCCAGTTCCGGTCCATTTCCTGGAGTATTCAATGTGTTTTGTTTTTCAACAGCATGCTGAACTACGCAAGGATCGGATTTTACATGGGGGCAACCTTGCTGAAGACGATGGACATGAAAGGTACACTGATATCTCGGGGAACCTACTGTACCTTGTCGACTTGCTTGACACTGGTCGTTTTAATGTCTATGCTGACTTAAAATTAATGCGATTTGAAGATTCTACTTCGACACTGCAGACATAACTTTTCAACTTGGAAATTGATTTCGTGCCATGGGCGCTTCCCGGATGAATTATTTTACACTAAATTTGATGTACTCTTTATTTTTCAGGCAGAAAAAAAATTATAAAGATAATGTCAGGGTCAAGTATTTAACGAAGCACTATACCCGGAAAATATATTGATGCATTTGCAGAAAATATTGATGACACATTTCCAACATTATTTTACAAGTTGCTTTAGACATCCCTTTGTCGTAACTGCATGCACATAACTGAAATCCGTATAAACTGTCCACGCTAGACAGAGCCCAATATATTAGGAACTTTTCGTAGGAGTGCTTTTCCACCTCCGCCATACGCTCTCCGGAACCAAGACGCCACAACATGCGCATGCGCGGCGCTAGCCTTGCGTGCACATTCCCGGATCTCGTAGCGCGGGTTGCGGAGAACGTTGCGGGACAGACGAAACGATCGACGAAAAAACTCCCTAATGTCCCGTGTGTGTTGAATACGACATAAGAAACGATATATGGCCTAATTTTTACTTTCCTCGGGTTTAACCTTGATCAGGAGTCTGCTCGCGACAGAACATAAGGTCCCCCCCCCTCCCCCTTTTCGGTTACACACTTATTATGTTACGCACGTTTTAGCACTTCGAAGGGGTTTAACCAACATCTTGACTTTTATTTCTTTATTCATTTCTTTGAAATACTGTGGCCCTGCCAGTCTAAACAGGAGGGAGGAAAAACACAACACACAGAAAACAAGAAACTCAATCATGCACTCACCGCTTGAAGCGAGAGCAGGTAGGTTGTAGCTACCCATATACAGATATACATTTTCACATGCGCAACTTAACTAAACAATTCATTCAGCTGTGCTTCAAATAATTTGGGTCTACAACAGTCGACAACTTGCTCTGTCAGTGTGTTTCACTCAATAATAGTTCGGCAAAAGGAAGAGTATTTAAAGACATCGTTTCTGTACTGGTAGGGTGTAATTGCTTTAGTATTGCTCGTTCTTTTGCAGCGTGATGTTGGAGGTAAAATGTACAGTTCAGGATTAGCCTTCGTCAAGCCATTAGCTACAGCGTATAAATCTTTTAAGCTACACACTTTCCTTCTTTTTCCTAAATAGCCAGGCCGCACTTCATTTCACATTGTGGTAACCGACTCGGTGCGCTTGTTTTTACAAAAAAAAAAAAAAAAAAACAGACCGAAGTGCCAGGTTCTGTATCCGTTCAATTTGCGCAACCTGCTGCTGATTCCTGTATGGGTCCCATACGCACCCCGCGTATTCTAAGATCGGACGTACATAACACTCATATGCAACTAATCCAATATCTATATTTGCATGTCTTACCTATAGAATGGCGGAATTCTATAACCTTTTTCTTATTTGTAATACTGCAAGGGAGTTTTGTCAAAATTAGTTGACATACCCTATTTCTTACTCCACGAGAAGATTTCTTCCAGGGACCGGTTGAGAACTTCCTGATCTTGAACTGTAGCCACCTTTGAAAAGACCATACAGTCGTCTGCGAACAATATAACTTGAATAGAGGAAGGGGAACTTGTGTCTATATCATTGATATAAATTAAGAATTAAAAGGGGCCCTAACACTGATCCTTGGTGTACTCCTGAGTAAACTGCTAACGGGGGAAAGAAAACTTTATTAAAGCTAACATACTGCGTTGGTCCTTCTAAATAAAAATGTATCCAAGATATCAAAACCTGATGTAACCCCAATAAGGCTAATTTTTGTGCTAATTCGTCATAGGGCACCCGGTTAAACGCTTTAGAGTTATCCATAAATATTACGTCAACGTGATTTCGTTCGTTTATTGCTGATGCAAACTCATGTGTGCAGTTGCGTGACTGTCGATAGACCCAGCCGAAACCCGCGCTGGTGTTCATACAGCAAGTTATTTTCCTCTAAGTATTGATTTATATGTTCAGAAATCACGTGTTCTAAAGGTTTGCAGCATGCCGTTGCTAAAAATATGGGGCGATGATTTTGAAGGTCCGTCTTGTTATCGAACTTGTAAATGGGCACAATTTTCTCACGTAGCCAGTCTTCTGGTAACTTGCTCTGAAGAATGGACGCTTGAAAAATTAAAGATGAATATCGCGACACCCACTCGTAATATCTTCTCAGAAATGCGTTGGGGATATTGTCTAGTCCGGATGCTTTTTTATCGTTTATATTCAAAAGTAAATTAAAAAATAAAACAACACTTCCTGACAAAACCAACTTTGGGATGTGTGAGTCGTTGGGCACGTTGACAGGGTCTACCGGTGGGTAGCGTGACACCGCAAAGACAGACTGGGAGTATTTGTTGAATTCTTCCGCGATTGTAGAAGGACAAGAGACGACTTCATTATTGATTAACACTTGCGTGGTTATTCCTTCGGAGTCGAAAAGAAACGCCAAAGGTTCTGTGGGGCTTCTCTCAAGAACCGTGAGAGCACATTACCACACAAGCTTTTCTTTGCTTGCGTCACAAGATCCTTTTAACTGTCATCCTAAATTCGCTATCTCAGCGGTGTTTCTAACTGTTTTTTCTTCAACTTTTTATATTTCGTTTTAGTTGCAGAATTTCCCTCGTTATCTAAGGATGGCTCCTTTGTGCTCTCGCTTTCCTTGAAGGAGCAAAACGACTTATACAATGGGACACAATATTTTAAAACTTTCTTCACAGCTCGTTGACATCAGATAGATGACTGAAATAATCAAAATCTTCTTCTAAGTAGTCAAGAACAGACACATCGTCTCTGTTTTGGAAATCGTAAACTGTGTTTTCGGGACGGGTGTTTTGGGATGGTTTTTTCGAATAGTTGCCATGAAAATACCAGCATCTTATGATATGACACGCCACTTATATTATCAATCTCGTCCACTTCAATCATATTGCTAACAAAAACAAGTCTAATGTTGCTTGACCAGTATTTGTTTCTCGGGTCGGACCGTTCACTAAATGTCTCAGGTTGAAACAAAAAGCAATGTCTAGAAGCAGTTCTGAGGACAGTACCTCGTTTTTACCCACTTGACTGGTTGTCCAATCAATATTGGGCAGGTTAAAGTCCTCCGTCATATTAATCTTAGATTTGTTCCTAAATTGTAGAGCCATGCAGTCGTATAAATCTTCTAAAAACTTTCGGGGGCTTATAAACGGCACCGACCATAAATGTATTTCCGTCGATTGTTACTTTACACCAGTGGTTCTCAAATGGGGGTCCTCGGACGCTTTGGGGTCCGCAAGGGCATTCTAAGGGTCCGCGAAGCCCAGCCTCATCGGTCAAGCTTGGAAATAAAAGTAGTCTTTTCTCAGATTGCGAAAAATGTTTCAATTTTTCGGGGTGAGTTTTCTCGTGTATATGTCAATAAGAGAACTCTACTTCACACTCGCCCTTAATTATATCCATTTATTACACCACAATCATAATTAACCCCTACTTCCCCTTCCCTGTACCACGAACGGGGTCCTCCATCATCTCCGCGGATCCACAAGGGATCCGCGAAACATCAGGGGCTGAGAACCACCGCTTTACACCATAATAGCTCACCGTTGCTAAGGCAATTTATTGGCACCGGATCTACTTTGTCTTTAAAAAATGATACCCACACAACCGCCTCTTGATCCTCTGTCTTTTAGAATAACTTTGTGTGGAGGTGGGACAATTTCACTGTCCCCAATACCATCGTCCAGCCATGTCTCCCTAATAACATCAAATTCGGGGGGGGGGGGGGGGGGGCGATCGTGAGACGAGATCATTTCCAGTACGTCTACTTTATTTCATATACTTTTAGCATTGAAGATTTAAATTATTTAAGCGGGTATGTACTAACCGATTTGTGGTGTCCCTTAATGTTAGGGTGAGCTTGCTGTTTGTTTGCTATACACATCTGCCCATTGATGATGTCCCACAAGAACTATTGTCGCCAATCTTTATACTGTCTATATTGAAAAACACAACCAGCGCGACTAACACACGGACTAGGAGAAGAGAACACACAGGACGAGGCGCTGACTGTCAACTATTTATTCAGAAGACATACAGAGAAATTCACGCGAGGACTGCCTCTTTCTTTTTCCTCTTCCACCAGTCATTCACCATTAAGCACGCAACATTATAAATCATATCGAAATAAAAATTCATACTAACTAGCGCAACTTTCCATTCTGGTAAGATTTATATTGTCATGAATCAAGAAAACGTTTTCTCTGTTATCACGATGCCGCTTGCTGCATTCCCACAACTTCTTGCGCCTTTGAAGTGTCATCAGTAATAGTCGTGTTCAATTGTTACCCTACTGCCTCTCGGAAGTCTGCGTTTCTTTAGATTATCTTTTTCTGCGGAATCAAAGAATTTAACGATGACGGGTCGAGTCCTGTTCATTTTTCGTCCAACGCGATGCAAGCGTTCGACAGTGCTAACATGAATTCCAAGCATTTCTTCGAAAACAGCATCTAGTACCTTTGATTTTAACGTATCTGCCGTTTCATCGTCGTCTTCCGGAATTCCCATAACCATAAGCTTATTAAGGCGCCTATAATCTTCTAGGCTGCGAAGCTTGTTTTTGACATTCAAAAAGGTATTCTTGTATTGACGTGACGTTTTGTTGAAGACCCACGACTTTATATTTAACCTCTTTAGTTTCTTGGACCATTACTTCGATCTGTTCAACTCTTTTAGCTAGGCTGTCGAATTTGCTGCCAAACTGTTGTTGGCTAGTTTTTATTACTCCGAGATCATTTATAATCACGTTTTGTGTAACCAGAATAGTCTTCACCATTTCCTCCGTCGTGGAGTATCAGTGCCCCCTTCATCGGGTCCTGGGTTCGATTCGATGTCCCCGCATAACAATAGGTCAAAGGTGGCATCAATACAGTCTACAAAAACACACACGTCCGAGGGCATGGCAGCGAAAAAAGGCAAATGTTGCTGGTACGTTTACAATAAAAGGAGCAATCTTTACTCAATTGCATGAAAAACATTAGAGGGTTATCCATCGGTCCCGGTGAAGTGCCTCCATGACCTGCGGCGCCCCAACATATATGCTATAATTATGCAATTAAATGCAAAGGTGCAGGCGAGCTGGACAAGAATGACGAAAATAATCCCTGGAGAAGGGGAACAAGGGGGACAAACCTAGCTGTGTTTGGAGATTTATGTTTGTCCTTTGTCCCCCTCGTTCCCCTTCTCCAAGGATTATTTACGTCATATATGCTATATTCAGTTCAAATTTTAGGGATAAACGTATTGTAGTGCAATGGACGCAACGCAGTGACGTTGAGTGAAGCGCGAGGAAAATAAAGGGACAATGGGTGCCTGCACTCTAAGGTTTCTATCTACAAGGGGTCTCTACGAAGAGTAGGCGAAGAGCAAGAGTGACTGGGAGCTTATAAAACGCAGGATGTGGCGAGTCACTTGCGTCTCCTAATCGCTCCGCATCCAATGAGGCTGCATCAAATAGCCCAAACCCCGCGTTTCTCTTAAGCTCTCGGTGACTCTATTCAGAGTAATATAATGGTTATATGCCAAAATACGATCTTATCAAAGATCCGTGTAGGATGCGGCAGATAATATGGTATTGTTTTGGATTTAAAGTTCGACGTTATACGTCGCTTCGTTTCGCTCTTCCGCTTTTTTTCAGGGGGTCACTTCAAGCCGGGCTACAACCACCCCATAAACTGGCGCGGTGTCTACGCCATGGAGAGGACAAAAGAGATCCACGACTGCCTTCAAGAAGGCAAGGTGAGACTCTGAGAGAGAAACTTAGACAGAGAGAAATGTTCTGCAAGAAGAAGCCTATAGCGTCAATCGCACGGCCCACACACAACCACCGAGTCTTGTACTGGGTGCGAGGAATACTATAGATAAAGTGACGCTGTGTGATATTTGCTCGCACACCGCCACCTGATGGGGAACTGGCACAATCGGGTATGTATAGGCTCCTTTCGTGCTGGGCGGCCGAGCGTTGGGAACGGTCGGAAGAGGTCGTTGCACTCCGGAAACCTCGGAGTTCCATGGCTTTGCCCGTGCCGAGCTGGTGGACGCCATATTTGTGAGTTATTAGAGCGCATGCTCAGAACGAGCTCACAATAGGTTGCTAAGTCCGGCAATCTTGATGGTGCAAAATGCACGTGGTAAAATAATTGTGGAATCTCGCTATCAGCACGCGCTCAGCAATCGAGCTCACGGCTATGGCCGCAAGTGAATACTAAGCACGCCGTTCGATCGGTGCATGAAGGAGCCCCATGAACACACTCTCAGAAAAAAAGGTGTATTATTACACCCCTTGTCCCATATAATACACCCCAAAACTTCAATTCGACGTACAGCGCCCCATAATCGAACAGGCGGCCCCAAAGTTTACGAGGGGCTTGATAGCCGTGTGGTACAACTTATGAAGATAGCTGATGTACGTATTATTGACTACAAAAAAGAGGATCAGAGTTTTCTTTGCCGTACTGCAAAAGCTCCGTGTTTTCTTTCTTTGTTCTTTGATACGTACTTTAGCAATTTAATAACTTATATCGCACCGTTGTCAAGCCCCTGGTAAAATTTGGTGCCGTCTGTTCGACTATAGGGCACTGTACGTCGAATTGAAGTTTTGGGGTGTATTATATGGGACAAAAGGGTGTAAGGTGATACCCTTCTTTTTTAGAGTGATGCATGATGGCGCTGTTGCTCACTGGGGTCCACTGCGATTGAAGCATCAGGCTCCAAGGAGGTAGCCCTGTCAAAGTAGAAGCTGCCGCTTTCGAGGAACCAGGGCTCAGATTGAGGCACCGCCGTCGCCCAGTGTGTCATCCTCTCAACGTCGTCGTCGCTACGTTCTTTATTTATACGCATATATATGTATCAATAAAATAAGATAGATAAAAAGACACACAATCAAACGTCCAGCGGCGCGCGCACCGGGCACTGCCTTTAAAGGAAAAAGCCAGCCTCAAAATGAAGAACCACCATCATCATCATCAGTGGCGTACCAACTTGTTCTTGAGAGGGGGGGCAAGACAACCCCCGCTCCCCCTCCCTCCCCCCCCCCCCCCCCCTCCGGTCGGAAATTTCTACTATTTTACTACAGTGATGGGCCGAACTTTTGCTGAATCGAAAGTTCGGCGCCGATTCGGCGGAGCCGAACTTTTGCCGAACTTTTCTATAGATTTGGCAAATATTCGACAAAGATTTGGTAAAAGGTTTACGTTTTTTTGTTTGTTTTTTCTTCTTAACTTAAAAGCAACTAGTAGTGCCTATTGACACAGTTATTACTAAATAAGGTGATATTCTGCAAGATAATTGTATCGGTGTCGCTTTTGTGTGTTTACTTTGGCAATTTTAGTGTCTGCTTCCAGAAAGTGGCGTGACAACGAGGTTGGGTAGCAGCCGCCGCAGTCATGAATCACGCTACGAGAGTTTTGATTTTAAGACTTCATCAGCGCAGGCCTGGATGCGTGTTTACATTTTTAACATAAAAGCAATCACTACGTTCTTACTTTCTCTGGAAGTCGCCGTTTCGTGCGCGAATACGATTGCAACGGTTGCTGAGCCTTCACCTGAAGAGATAGCAATATTGTAAATATGCATGTTTTTCGATCTGAGCCACTTGACGTCAGCTTGGCAAGAAAGTGCGCGTTCCATATTCGCAACGTGCCGTTTTTAGCCTTTCAAATTCCGGTTTCTGGTGTTAGGACACACACGGACGTTCAAGAAGATGGGGAGAGTTAGGAATATCGGATATCCAACGTCGAGCATGAAAGTTCTGTGTTTAGTTTTATGCAGATACATGAAAATCGCGAAATAATGCGAACTAAAACGCAATATTATTCTGTTTTGGCACAAACTACTTGTAAGCCGAAAATAGGATTTTTATAATAAAAATAATAATTTTATTTGCACATAGGGGGAGGGGCCCATGTGGTGGTGTGCGGGGCTAGGCAGATAGCTGAAAACCCTTACTCAGAGCGCCTGCCAGCCCGCCACCACATGTGAAAAAACAAACAGACAAATAAATGTACAGAATATACGCACTACAGAAAGTGCGTAAAAAGAAAAAAGAAGGGGGAAAACATGTATCCCATTATGACGAGGATGCCAGCTGCATCCCATACATTCTGGATAGGGCTGGGCGTCGATTAAAACGTTTAACCCGATTAATCGCGACCTTTCAATGGATTAATTAATCAACTAATCGGCCTCGTTCATTCTCATACGAAGTATATAAAAAAAAAAGAAAATTGGTTTTTGATTTCGTTGAATTTGTGACAAACGGCGGAATATACCATCTGGATTTCGAATCGGCCTCCATGTGTAATTCAGAACAGTTCAAAGACACTCACGCTCACAGGTCATTACTTTATCTGCACGAGGAAAAGAGGTTCGTTGATATTCTCCGGCAAGAGCGACCTTCCTTGATTGTTCACAATTGCCTCCGCTGCGCTAAACAGACACTCAAACGGCGTTGAACTAGACGGGACACGTGTAAGCTAATCCAATTGTCTGAGGTTACTAATCTCGCCCCTACAGCTTACTTTGGGCTAAAATTTAGCCTAAAGTTGGCTCTTCATACAGATGTACTCGTCCTCTCAGCGTGGTGATAGCACTGACTTTCAACCGTTTTAGTTTCGTCAAAATTTTACCGATTAACCGGTTAAAAATTAATCACGATTAAATCATTAGTAGATTAATCGATAGGTTACTGGATCGACTTCCCAGCCCTAATTCTGGCAAGCTTCGTGACTCTCCCGTTTGACGGCAGTGGGCTGCGGGCACTGAGCGTAATTGTCCAGTTGTCAGTCAATGCTTCAACTACCTCGTTTCATGAATGGAAAGATCAAATGAAAATCACGTTATCCAGAATGCACCGCCTGTCACTTTCGCAGTGAGCCGCGTAAATTACTGGTCGACGTCTGTTCTTGAGGCAGAAAATATTGAGGAGAACCACACTCGCAAAAGCTCACGAACGCCCAGTTACCGTGCCGCCTACTCCAGACCTCGCCGTAACCGCTGGTTGTACTAAAGCGATGGTAACCGCGCAACTGCGCGGCGTCCATTTGCGATCCATGGCCCCGTCGCGTTCGTGCGCGTGCGCAGACATTTGCCGAATTTTTATCGAATCTTTGTCGAACTTACCTTCTAAATTTCGGCATCTGCGGAAATTTGCCGCATCTGAAGTTCGGCAGATTCGGTCCATCACCAACTTTTACGGCGCAGGTGATAGGCCCTCTAGCACCGACGCTCACGCCGGATTGGCCGTTCGGCAACGTGCGGAAACTTAAATATCGAATTCGGACGGCGCGTATATCACTCAACGAGCGTTAACCCCCTCCCCCCTTATACCCCCGTACACGCCGCTTTGCAGCCGGCAACCCAAGCCCCAATATCCCCAATCCACATCCGTAAAGAGAGTCCCATACAATTTAGTTCAGCGCGTCCACAACATTCGTTTTTCTTTCAACGCTAATTGTAAAAAAAAAAAAAAAATGTAAATATCGCCAAATGCCTCCACAATACAAAATGTTCGACGAAAAAAAAAAAAAATAGAAGTCCAAAGCGTAGATAGAACCGTGGTCTGCTACGTATGAGGTAGACATCTTACAACTAAGTTACGCTACCGCTTCGGAAACTCGCATTGTAACCACTGCATATGTTGACGGCGGCAGCGCCTATCTCCACAAACCTGCCAATCCGGCGTGAGCGCCGTTGCTAGGGTTTGTATCGCCTGCCAGTGTTTCGCCTGCCAATCCTCGGGTTTCTATCGCCTGCCAGTCCTCGGGCGCCGCCGGCCAGTGTTTGCCCTGCCCAGTGGCGGCTGTTTCAGGGGGGGGCAAAACACATGCCTTGCCCCCCCGCTCTGAAAACTGGGGGGGCAAGTGCCCCCCTTGCCCCCCCGGTTGGTACGCCCATGATCATCATCATCATTTACCGCCTGGTAGCCGAGACCTCCCCATCGATAGATGACTCTCGCCAAGCTCAGAAAACCTGTCCGCGCCGAGGCTATTGTATTTTTGAGGGGTGGAATGTATTTCCCCTAGTAAAGCATTTGTGAATACCTCCTATAGAGGTACGCCGAGGTCTGTTAACTGTCCCTCCTTTCCCGTGGAACGTCATCACTCTCAGATGGCGCATTCTCAGCGATTGGGCACGAGCGCGACGCCGAGTGTCCTTCGACGCAGCTCGAGCACGACAGATAAACGTGGCTTGCATTGTGTGGTCATCACACCATGATGGTGGTCATATCTACTTGCTCTTGGCGAAACGAAAAATCGATGGTGCGTATAAACTATCCTGACGAAGGTCAGTAGCAAGGCCGTCACTATGCCAGATAAAATGTACGCGAGTTCAAACGTATTGCGAAACGCATTGCTTTCCTCAATGGCTGCTTCCCGATAACTCCACAGAATGAACAATACGGAAAAAATATATAGCGGAGTCAATCAAAAAGACGGGCGTGTGAATATTATTTATAGATACTATTCATCATATGTTAAATACCTACGAACATATGTTACAGTTATATTTTCGTTTCACGTAATACCTTTTGTTTTGTATGCCAACATGGCTTCACTCGTAAGATCTTGGTATGAAAGCCATTATTACGTAATAATTGGAACCAAATCATCGTGAGTTCACTTAATTTTTTTTTTTACCGTAGTTGCATGCAGTGCTGTACGATGTGTATGTAGAATTACTGACAGAATGAGAACGACAGGGCTTGTCGTTCGAACGGCCGGCCTCCAGCATGCGCTTCATGCCTTCCGTCGCGCTTTGGTTGCGCGCTCGCGCTCGAAGTACACGAGATGCCGAACTTGTTGTTGAAGATGAGGAGCCCGCGCTGGCGGCGAGACAACTGCAGCTCCTTCCTGCCTTTCTCACCTTGTTGGTGACTATATAGTCAGTTAACTCCGCGACAGGCTCACCGTTCAAATGCGCACACCGGTCAAAGTTTGACCTCTCGGAATGCAACGTATCGCATCCCGACATTGTGCTTTTCGACGCCTGCGAAGTTGGAAAGCCTTGGCGTACAACCGCCATAACGCAGAAATCTCGGGAGGCGGCCCTCCTGCTCTCGTCATCTGAACGCGCGAATGAGCCCGATGCGTTTCGAGCTCGGTGAGTAGACTCCTCACGACCGCGCACTCCGTCCCATCTGCGTGCTTACCATGAGCAGCTTAAAGGATGAACAGCTTAAAAGAATTGTTCCGTTTCCACGGCGATGTTGCTAACTCGTTAGGGCAGTTGCTTTAGGGTCTATGGCCACTTTTGGCAATACGTTAAGTACGCTAATATCACGAACATAAAAGAAGCACAGCCGGGCTTTTCGAGCTGAGACATGAGAAGCCCATTGGGGCTGTCTAACTTTCCGCTGTTCATGCGTATGCACACGCAGAACACAGTTACTCACATGCGCGTATGACCCTTCCAGACCTCTTTGGTTTCTGAGGTTATATATCTGGGAAGCACCGGTCGCGCTCGTACCGGGATTTCTGCGGTCACACATAATTTATTTGATTCCACCTGGCCATGGCACTAAATATGTACCGTGCACGACTTACTACTTTACTTTCTAGTGTCGCTTGATTTTCCCACTTCAGTTTATATACCCCTAATCCAGTTTGTCCGCCGTTTTAGCCAGTTCCGAACCAGTTTGGTAATATCATTTCAGTAGTAAGTCATTTTTAATCATCAGTTTGCATACGCATTGACCTGATTGAGTTGTTTTACCAATCGTTTGAACAGTCTGCCTCAACGATGTGACCTGTGAAAATGCTGAACACCAAGTAACCCCCGGTTCACATCTCACTTTCCACATACGCAAGAACATGGAAACAAAGATCCGAGCATCGGCCTAATTTTAATACATTTAGAAATAACCTGCAAAGTGTTATACTTAGCAATCACTACTATCACGCAGCAACTATTTGTAGCGTTGAATGACATAGTAAAAGACAGTGTCTTATACCTCGTGGAGTGCTATGGGAACCGGCCCACTCGAGTATCACCTATGACCAGTTGACTTGTGACAACTGGGGTTGTAACGGCTTCTTCTATACTCTGTTCACCCATAAGCTTAGGAGACTGAGGTGGGAGCTACGTGCCCGCCGGACCAATCAGCAGCCTCCCTCTTATCACCTGACCCAACTCTTTGCGCGTGGGTATGGGCGTGTACGTGATGACGTGGAGAAAGAGAGGCGTGTGATTGGTCCAACGAGGACGTAGCTTCCACCGCAGTTTCAGCTTAGGGATGAACGGAGAATACACCTTTTCTACAATGGCGCAGTCATCTTGAATGTCGTCCCTTCTGGCACGCGTAAAAACACCGTTTTGACGTCTCCACGCAGCTGAAAAGTGCTAAAAAAAAAAAGGGGGGACTGATAGTCACACGTTCTTGTTTCGCCTGACCAGACCTGAAGCTACCCGCTTTTATCTCCACTGAACTTGTCAAGCGCGTGAGAACGAGGAAAGTCGGCGTCCGACGATTGGTTCTCGCATTCGAAGGCGTCCGACGAGTGCAGTGAAGACAACGGCAGCTAGCTTTAGGTCTACCCCCTAATCGCTCCACCGCGTGCTCTCGTCTCCCACTCCCTCACTTTCTCGGCGCATATACTAGTTTTCACGAACGGTTGCACGGCAAGTGCAGTGTGTGTTATGGCGCAATAAAGGTTCTCCCTCTAGGATCATTTACCGCAGGCTATATTAATTGTGAGTCAAAATACGGGTGAATCGGTAATTCCAATAACGGAGCGGTTCGAGTTTTCGATTCTGTTTTCATTCACCAGAACATGAGCAACGCCCGGAAAGCGGTGATGATGACGAACGCCTTCACTCCTGGTTTCAGGGTGAGTACTCCATCAGCAGTAACGATCAATCATTTTAACTAACTTTTTAATCACTATAAAAACTGCCTAACGCATCTGGATCCGTAGCCGATCTGGCTAATATCTGCCCCCAATCAATGCCCGCGACAGTTTTTATTGCAGTACTTCCGGCTCAAATCATATTGTAATATTTAATCAGCAGTTCAATTATTTCTTTATTGAAACACTGATATATGTTAATTTCTAAGTACTATTTTGCTGTTTAAACCCGAATAAAGAGGCATCCTACGCCACATCTTCAAAGATGCACACGCTACACATGTTGTTTCTTGTTTTACAAATTTGCTTACTAAACGGTCAGTGACCAAAGGTATCTCAAAAGCAGAAAGGCAACTTCGGGTGCTGAAAGAAGAATCGAAGGGAACAAGATTTCATGTCGCGTTAATTCAGCAGCTATTCGAGTACTACATATACTTCGTTCCAGCTTCGGTCCGAGCGCGGCCGATGTTATGAGCCGAAGGGCCAATCAAACAGCGCAAAAAGCGCAGCGTCGTGGTGTGCTCTCTGCGCTTGATAGGACTAGCCGGCGGAGGGCGCGCACAGAGAGACGGCGAATACCGGCTGGTCCTATCAACTGCGGAGAGCCCGCCGTGACGTTGTGCCTTTTTCGCTGTTTGATTGGCCCTTCGGCTCATAACATCGGCCGCGCTCGGACCGAGGCTGAAACGAAGTATATAGTGCCGGAAACCTTCAACCAGTACTTTACACATCGTATACGTAGAAGCCAGTGCCAGAGAAACGGGTGGCCCACGAATGTCTAGTAAAAGTCCTAGCGCTCAGGTCTGTTCTTTTTTGTTTTGTTTTGTTTTTTTGTTTTTTTCTGGTCGGATCATGTCTATAAGAAATGGGATATAAAAAAAAAAAGACGACACAGATGTGAAGAACAGATTTGATACCCGCTGTTAGGTTTAAGGACCTCTTGGATGCGTGTTTTGTGTCGGTTCATACCGTGTCAAAAACGAGCGCTGCGTCGGCGTTTGGCGATGAATCGGATCCAATCATGGGTTTTTTGCCCAAGAAATGACAGCCATCAATATTGCTTGATGTACTTGTGTTGCAATGGGTCTAATCCATTGATGGGATACTTGGCGACACACGGGAGAGGATAGAGCGGCTCATACTATTTGTTGTAACACAGTTTGAATACAATATGTGAAATAAAACGAAAGATGTAAAGCTCAGTTAACAAAAATAGCGACATGTATCAGACCGACAATTCAAAATATGACATTGCAGAATGGAGCGAATTCAACTCTAACAATTCAATAAAAAGTTATGATTACCAGAACAAAAGCACACATATTCAGAGATATAGAGAGTATACTAAGCACTGTTATATAAATTATGATAACTTATAAGCTTAAGCCGAGCAGACATAATGGCTATCCATACGTCAGGACACTAGAACATTGATCGATCGAAGTCATCAAATCACACGCTTAAAAAAAATCGGATTTCTTTCGGTGTTGATGTTAGGTGTTTTATATTTTGAGCGTTCAGGTAATTAAGTAGGTGGGGTAATACATTTGATAACATCTGCTCACCGTAAGTTGTTCTGCAGTTTGGCACTTTCCAGTTTTCTAAGTTACCGAGTTGAATATATTGGCAATCTCCTCGTCAGAGACGCTAGCTTGACAAGATGACATATATTCTTCATGACTTTTGACCTGTAACTCAGTCATAAACGGTATTTATATAAACTATACACATGCAATACATTCAAACTTTCGAAAAGAGATCTGCTAGGGTGATCATATGGAACATTACTTATAATTCGTACTATTTTTTACTGGAGCCCCATCATCCCGAATGTCCTTGCTCGGTCTCTGTATCATGAGATCTCCGTCGGCCAAAGGCGCTATCCGGGTTGCCGTCATCCCATCTGCATGCGGCGATCCACAAAAAAGAACACCGTCTCCCCCAACGACCACGAGAGGGGAAAGTTAACTCCCGTTATCGTGTTTTCTTCCCTGTCTGCTTCTCGGGGTTCGGCGGACATTAGATTGGGGACAATTGCGTCACAATCGGTCGGCTGCACAACTAACGTGCCTGAATAAACCTTTTGAGTTGTGAACTTTATGCACAATGTTGCAATTCGAATTATTGAAAACATTCAATATTAAAATCTAAACCATATATTTGTAAAAAAAAAAAAGAAAAAAAAAGGAAACGGACTTTTAATACATTATGAAACTTAGCGCATGCGCTTGACTTTGTAACAGGAGGGAGAAAAAAAATTGCTCTGATGTGAATCAGACCAGTTTTACCGTGGTGATTTAAATCGAACCCTTCCCTTTAAAAATATTGCCCAAAATACTTTCGATTTACCGTTCGTGTATCATTTGATGTTTTCGATATGCAATTGTTTTGCTTTTGAATCAAATAATCGTCAAGCAAGAAAGATTTTTATAAGGCGTAACACGAGCAGCAAGACGCGCTCTTCTAAGCAGATCGGAGCGTTGCGCTTGATTTATACCTTCCACCTCGTTCGCCAGCTACGTAACGTATATTACTACAAAATCAGAACGCAAAAGACAGGAACGTACACTAGAACAGTAACTTCCTATTCCAATAAAGTTGAAACTTCAACAAAAAATAAAAATTATTTGAACTAACTAAAAAAAACACAGATTTTTCTTGTTTTAGTATGGCGAGGGTTACGGCAATAACAAGTTGTTAAGCAAAGTAGACTTTATAGTAATTCTTCCTTCTGCATCGTTATCAGTGATCGGACAGATTGATCGATTGATCTGCCATTTTGAAAAACGCCTCTAGTGGCAGAGAATCATTATTTTTGTAGCTGCACTTATTTAGGTCTATATACTGATCTAAATGAATTTTATTTTATTTATGTCTGATTTAAGCAAGTCAAATAAATTTTATGAAAATCAAATAAATGTAATTTAGTTATCAAAAAATATGCTTTCTTTTTCCACTCTGCTTTATAGGGCAACACGCTATTTCCAAACAAGCCCACACGAGGTGTGGGCAAATGCGCAATTCCTACCCGAGGCATTGTGCCTGCGCGGGAACCAGATTCGCGTCAAGTGCTGCACATTATGCTTTGCCACTAGCATTGCCTTGCCAATAGCAGCGTCACCGCAGCTTATCATTTGAGCGACAGCGTGCGCGAATTAAACGTGAGATAAAGCCAGACGCTCGCGTCAGCACCAAGAATGAAACGGAATTATAGAGGGTTTTCAGTGGACACCATATTTGAGGACGCTATTCTTAGAGCGCGTGCTCAAAACGAGCTCGCATTAATGGGCTGCTAAGACCGGCAACCTTGATAGTGTAGAATGCTCGTTTCACAAGAACTGCGGAAGGTCGCCGTCAGCACGCGCTCTGCAGTCGCGCACACAGCTATGGCCGCCAGTGAATACTCCCTATAGGAGTGCTTTGTGCTTTTTTAATTATGCATAAGCACTGACGGACAAGAAAAACAGAAATAAAAAAACAATCCTACTCGCTCAGTTTCCGCAACAGCGCATCGCAGAACATGTGAGATAAAGCATGGAAATTTTCTAATGAATTTTCGCAATTCCTCTAACTGTTGTGCCTGCTCAGTTTTTTAGGACCATGGCTCTTGAACGCGCCTACCCCAAGCCAGAGTATCGAGTAGACAAGTTCCCGGAATTCAGCATGGCTGATCTCTACTTTTTCTCGGTAGTGCAGGTGAGACTTATAGACCTGTCTTTCCGATACTTTATTTTGTCAAACGACGCAGGCCCTCGTGGTAAATCTAGTGCCAAGGTGGACCCGGCAGAGCGCGTCACACGAAAATGACAAAAGTCACTGCGCCTGGAGGACTGATTCGGCATGTCCTTTTTGACATGTTCACCGGTCATGACAAATTTTTTGTAAAAGAAGGTTTGTGTTTACGGTTAAAAAGAAAAAAAAGCGGATTCAGCCAGAATTTTTAGAAAGGGTCCGGGAGTCGATCTAAACGTGTGATTTTGCAAGTTGATATATATAAGATTGCTCTAAATTTGCCCCGTGTCTAGTACGACGCTACGTCTAAATGCACATAGTGCTATCAGGAATCACATTTGGCAAAGTGGCGCAAGCCAGCGCTCGATCGAAAAGGAGACACCAGAGGACCCTTTGTAACGGTCAAACTGCGAGTTACATTTTTTTCTTTTGTGCTCGAAGTGTTATAGGCGTATCTCATGCGCCAATTTCCACCAATGCCTGATATCTCGAGCTCACACCAACGCTGTTCTCGCAGACAATGTGTGCTGACAAGAAACACCAAAAAGAGTTGTAAGTATAGCCCACCAAACATCTTGCTCCGCAGCCGTTGAACGTGTGTGTCTCGCCGAGTAGAGATTGATTACAGGCTGCGTAACTTTGCTTAGTTACAGTTATGGTGACTGGAAGGCATCTGCGACTGGTGTGTTTAGCGCGTCCAAAAAAAAAAAACTGTCTCCCGATTTCCGCCTGGCGGCGTCACAGCAGCGGCGTTTGATATGTGTCAGACGCCTGTTCTGCGGCAGGTCGCTCTCTATATCTTGACAGCCGACGGAAGCTCCAGCAGCCAGGAGTTGGGACGACGCGACGACAGCGACACCTGCGTTCGCTCGCGCTTCCTTCCGGGACTTCTAGCACCAACCGCCAGGATCGCGACATCCTACGCAGCATGACCTTGAGAGTCAACTGCTTGATCGGGGTCACGTGGTTTCTGGGCCGCGTTTGCAATGAGGAGCTGCGAGGGACTGACGGACGCGTCGATCGTCCGCGAACGCCTCCGCCTTTTCACCTGCTTTCCTCCTCGCCACGGCAAAAAGCAGCGCATGCGCACTTGCGATCGGTCTCCGCAGGAGGCGTCCGCCATTAAATTGCAAACCCTCCCCTTGGTTTGAGATGGCCCCTTTCTTCAATCTATAGGCGGCTTTCTGACATGACGCACACCAGATTTTGTGAATGATAAGAACATTAAATATGTAACCAAAGAAAACAATGAAGTGCATCGGTCTACAAGTATAGATTCTTGCGTATCACTGATATCTTAAACAGGTAAGAATATAAGACGTCGTCTCCTGTGCCTTTTTTCTTCGACTTCAATGCTTCCTATTTTTCCCTCACCACAGTTTCGGGTTTTAAACATCATGATTAGTAACTATCACCAGTTCCACTGCACACTCACTGTCTTTTCATAAAATAGTGATTTATATTGTTTTGTTTAGAGGAATACGATTTTAAGCACAGGAGAATAGTCGTCTTTTTTTTTCTTTTTTTTACAAACTTTAATATTCATTGTATATGTGTATCTATAAATTAAGTAAATATTGAATTTCGAAAATTTAAGGCATTGTACGAGTGACCTACGTCCATCACAAACGAAACCAAATAATTCAGCCTAACAGAACACTGCGATTAAGTCGATAAAGGGTGTTCAATATATTTCTCTAGTAAAATGTATCGGGGCGGTTCTAGAACGTATTCCTGTTGAAAAATACAAATAGCAAAAGCACATCTTTTACAAGGCCTAACTCATTCATTCTACCGCGCCTCCCGCTCGCCCTCCCGCGGCGGAAACGGAAAGCGCTCTAGTGAGGGTCCCCCGGTTCTCCTGCTCAGCGGGCACGGCGAAACTACTCGCGATCATGGCTCTCGAAATATGATTTCCGAATGCAAACAACACTCTTCACTGACCCAATGAAGCGCCGCAGCCGTTATAAGATTGTACGTTACTAGAGAGTTTTAGTATTGCGTATAGAAGCAAACGCAAGTGCTGCGCATTTGTCTTAGAGTTGAGTGCTCCGCGCCGCCCATGCGCATCGTCGCCATACACCAATACAAAAGCGCAGTTTTGGGCTCCGCGAACGCGCGCTGTGGAACAGGCAACGCTAGCGTGGACACTGCGTTCGCTCGTATACGCAATACAAAAGCTCCCTACCGTTTCACCAGTTTCCAACGCCAACGAAAAACGCGCTGCAGTGAAGAGGCGCGCAAGTGGGTAGGCTGAAAATGGCAAAATGACGACGCGTAAAAATGAGAGAACCTAAAAATTCTGTAAAAATTTAAAAAAAAAAAATATTAAAGGAAAAGGGGGGGGGGGGGGGGAGGCATTTGGTTTGGAAGGTTTGGCGGCGACATTGGAAGCTCTGCCGATTAATTGTCAAAAGTCGCGACTTTGATAGCACAATCTGCTGTACCCACAACTAATGCAATTTTACAGGGATTTCTCAGATTGGCTAGAATATTTTCATTGAATTTAGACCATTCTTATTTTATAATTTGTAAATTAAAAATGCGGCAATTGGCACCAGTGATGATAATTTGTACACTTTTGACTGCCATACTTGTTCGCGCCTTTCAAATTAGATCATAAGCAACAAATTATATTAGAGCTTGAAAAACTCAGTATTAAAATATCTTGATTGTATTAATATTACTATTATTATTAATACAAATTGCGGCGATGTAGGCCCCCGATAAACGCCACGACTACAAAATTACGCCCATTTACCGCAATAATCTTTCCAGAAAGGTCTTATTTTGTTCTCTTTTTAACATATAAAAAACCGACATCATTATCAAGATAGACAAACAGTCAAACACGGTATGTAATATATAGTCCGGTATGGCGTTGCTTTAAAAAGCATACACACTTCTGATGTCTAGCTTGGATTCCGTCTGTGGGTTTTTGTAGTGAGAACCACGTTTCTTAATTTATTACGTTTTGCGAACATATTCTGAGCTCATCACCCCTGAGGATATTTTGTAAAATTTTGATTGATTGTGTTATTCTTGGGCTAGGCATAATGTTAAAGGAATTAATCCTCTATACACCTAAAAACTCATTAAAAGGCCCTGAGTTTATTATTTCACATGACAGTTATCTGAGCGAGAAAAGGCCGCAAGAACAGATAAATATCAGCACTTGATTTTTCAACAAACATAATTTTCTACGATACTTCTAAAGCGCATAAAAGACTGGATTGGACACGTATGTCACAAGATAAAGATTTTGTGAACAACTTCTTTAGCTCAAGTATTACGTTGTGAGACGCGTCTTGAGATTCGAAAGAATCCGAAATTAAAACCTATAGCGAGGTTAGTTTCGGTTTCGTTCCGGAATTTAAACGTGCCTCCTGGCGTAAATATTACGCTAAACACCGTTTTGTTTTTCAGGATAAAGAGGTGAGCTGCGCTTATAATGCTCTACCGTCCTCGTATAAGCGGGAATCATTTCTGTTGCTCAGTGAAGCCAGCACACTAGACAGGGTCAGCAACTGGTATACCGGCACGCTGTTCCGACCCTCACTATAACCGCCATATTAGAAAACGAGTGGCGCCACCTACAGTGAATTGGTCGCGAAGTCTGCTGCACGCGAATTCGAGTGATTTAAACAAGCGCGTTTGCCCGCACCACCATAGGAGGTATTACAGGACGCCATATTTGAGGGCGATATTTCGAGCACATGCTCAGAACGAGCCCTACATCAATAGCCTGCAAAGACCGGCAATCTTGATAGTGCGGAATGTACTTTGCAAATTAACTGCGGAAGCTCGCCGTCAGCACGCGCTCAGCAGCCGCGCACACTGCTTGTTTACAAACAGTAATATTTCCCTACGCACCCCCTAGGGGGGGAGGGGGGGGGGGGTGCACCCCCCGGCCCCCTCTTGTTTTTCTGAAGCCACCCCCTAATTCGCAACGACTTCTCTACTCTCAATGCCCCCCCCCCCCCCCCCCCCCCCCCCGTAATTTCAATTCCGTGGGAAACCCCTGTTTACAAAAATCAGTCCATACGTGCCAAATCACAGTCCAGCCAGAAAGTGCGCGTGCGTACACAAACACAGCAATGAACGCGCCCTCATACGCTTTTATGAAAAGGTGTATAGACAATTGCAAGCATGGCACCCCGACTGGTGTCCCATGAGTGCAAGCTAGTGGTGCAAAACTATCGACAATACTATCGATAGTATCGATAGTCGCCAAAAATCTGACTGTCGATAGTAAAAAAAACTATCGATAGTACTATCGATAGTCAACTATCAAAAAACTATCGATAGTCGACTATCGAAAAACTATGGATAGTACGATCGATAGTCGACTGACGAAAAACTATTGATAGTACTATCGAAAAACTATCGATAGTACTATCGAAAAGCTATCGATAGTACTATCGATAGTTGACTGTTGAAAAGCTTTGGATAGTACTATCAGTAGTCGGCCATCGGAAAACTATCGTTAATCGACTATCGGAAAACTATCAACCGTCGACTATCGGAAAACTATTGTTAATCGCCTATCGGAAAACTATCGATAGTCGACTATCGCAAACCTATTGATCGTACTGTCGACGATTGACTATCGATAGTTTTGGGACACTAGTAGTTTGCGTCGTTCCCTCTTCTATTTTTATCGCTTTATTTTTGTTTTTCAAATATGACACGAACTATCCCAGCCACTTACCATCCCAACTTTGGTTCAGCTTTCAGTGATGACGAAGACAGGAGTTTGGGCGAGTAGAGGAGAAAGGGAGGCGAGCGACGGCGCGGCAACTGTGTTCGCTATAGTCCGCAGCAACTCAAGAAGGTAGGACGAGGGTAAGAAGGACCGGGGAGGAGGAAGCAGACGGAATGCTGGAGAAGAAATGGGAAAATCTCCTCTCAATAGCTTTCTGTCTCCTTCCTCCTCCCCGGCCCTTCTTACCCTCGCCCTACCTTCTTGAGTTGCAACGGACTATAGTGATGCAAAACTATCGCTAGTACTATTAATAGTATCGATAGTCGCCAGAAATCTGACTATCGATAGTAAAAAGCTATCGACTATCAGAAAAATTAAAATAGTATTATCGATAGTTGACTATCGAAAAACGATCGATAATACTTTCGATAGTGGACTATCGATAGTTCTGCGACACTATCGATAGTTTTGGAAAAACTATCGATGGTATCGATAGTCAATTTATCGATAGTTCTGCATCACTAGTGCAAGCCCGTGCACCTGGAAATTGCACCTGCTTTTGTCCGCACGAGCAGAGACATGGCGGCGGACAGTGGCCCTTCTTGCAATTGTCTATACCCAAGCCCACAAGGACGTTCTTTCAGGAATGAATCATTTGCTCATCCGTTATTCTACATCCAGCGTGACTTAACGAACATAAGATTACTAAGCTTTTCTTTCGTGGACGCCGGCACGAGATGGGACTTTCTATTTGTGCGAAAGCGAGGCTTCCCATCGAAGACAAAATCCCAAAGTCTGACTTTTTCGAGGTCTGACTAAATCGAGCAAACCGTCGAGATTATAATTTATACCGAACTGAAAGACTTAATTTCTGGTTTATTAAAATTAACAATACAAAAAACGCAGTTTTTTTATGTTTTTCTTTTGTTTAGAGGCGTGTCGTTTTATACCACCATAATACGGAAGCAAACGGTGAGAGTTCGGTCGATCCATCTCTGCCCAAGGAGTTTCGTCACTTCTAGTGACGTAACTCCAGTGTCCAGTACCGCAAATAACTATTAGTTGTCGTTTTTCTTCTTTTTTTTTTTTTTATTGCGTTGCAAGTTTATTGAAAGTGTTATCCATCATCAAAAAATGTGGACTTGCCCGCACAGTCTGAGTACTCACACATTTAGTTTGGCTCCGGAGTGCGGCTATAGCCATTTAAGTGAAAACATGATTTGTCGTTTTTGAGCTTTTAAGTGTTTTACGAGCCCACACGACGGCTGTGTATCGTGAACTCGAATAATTGGGAACCGAACCTGTTTTATTCGCTAAGCCGTTGTCGCTACTGCGGTCTAAAGTAAGAACCACGTGTGAGCGATTACTCCAAGCGACGCGACAGGGCCCGCTGTCGCTCGGTTGGTTGAAACTCACGCAAGCGACGCACGTCGCAATAAAAAAACAGCGAGAAGTGTCGCACGTGCGTGTGCCGTGATAGTGACGTCACAAAACGTTTCGTTCCATTGGTTCTCACCCGAGCCACTTATGGGCGACGCGTGAAAACGGGCAATATTTTCTGGATATCTATACTTCGTTTCAGCTTCGGTCCGAGCGCGGCCGATGTTACGAGCAGAAAGGTCAATCAAACAGCGCAGAAAGCAAAACGCCATGGCGTGCTCTCTGCAGTTGATAGAACCAGCCGGTATTCGCCGTGTCTCTGTGCGCGCTCCTCCGCCGGCTAGTCCTATCAAGAGCAGAGCACGCCATGACGCTGCGCTTTTTGCGCTCTCTGATTGGCCCTTTGGCTCATAACATCGGCCGCGCTCGAAACGAAGCTGAAATGAAGTATAGAAACGAGCAACGGGACGGGCGGCAGCGACGGGTGGCGGCAAATCTCGCCGCCCGTCGCCTGGTCTCGCTCGCCAAATCGCTTACAAGTAATTCAACCTTAAATTGTAATAAAGAAAAAGAAAAGTTTGGAATAATTGAAATTTAGTGCCACATGATGATGATGTATCAACCCTCGATGCTCGCAAAGCGCATAGAAAGCGCAATCCGACAACGGCGAACGCGAAATGAAGACCACATCTGTGGGCGCTCCATTGTCTTCATTATAGGGAGAGTTAGAAATGCACCACTTACACGCTACTGGCCTTTTCACAAAAAAAAGAAAAAGTAAATTTGAACCCTTTAAAAATTTAGTTTCTTAAAGAAAAAAACTGGTGCCTGTAGAATAAACCGATAGCAGTTCAATGCTTTACGTCGGCGAACTGTTTAACGAAGTAAAAATTAAGTTCGTGCTCCTTTTACGCACATACATGTATTCGACCCTTCGAGCTTTCAGATATCAGAAGTTTTCTGCCATTAGGTTTCGTCACCTTTTTTTTCTTTCAGAATCAACGAGGCGGTTAGGAACGACAAGTACTTCCAGGAACACCACTGCACAAAAGGAGAGAAGATGTTCAAACCCACGCGCAAGTTGTGCTATCTGTGGCACAGTACCCGAAGGAACTACTGAATGCGCTTCCACCTTTCTCAGTGCCGCGGTGAAGGCTTCGCAGGTTGCAATAAACGAACTCCACAACCTCCGTGAACCGGCTCCTCAGTACTTACACAAATTGTTGGCGAAATGCGCGACCAAAAGCGTCGCTGTCATCGGCCTTCCACGATGGGTCAAACGCTCACATGACCTCTTGAGTATAGGGGGCATTCACAGGACGCCATATTGTTGGACGTTGTTTACAGCGCATGCTCAGAACTAGCTTCCACTTATTGTCTTCTAAGAACAACGATTCGGATTATGTGGACTGGATGCTGAACGCGCATTCTTGTGCACTCTTCGCAGGCGGTGCAGCCAAAGCTATGGATACCCGTGCGCCCGCAGACCTTGAGCACCGATCAAAGCTGTGCTCGCGCGGTGTTCGCTTCTTCTGAAATGCCAGAAACATATGTCCTCAAGCATCGTTCTGAGCGTGCGCTGCGAACAACGTCCAACAAAATGGCGGCCCGTGAATACCCCTTGTGGACCCACACGCGGCCCTGAGGTCACGCAGCTGCGGTGGCGCTGTCGACGGCACTGCGCATGCGCAGATGCTTCACACGAATTCGGTTTCTGCGCACGCGCAGTGCCCACACCTTGTGTTGGGCAAACGCGGGCTTGTTTGTAAACAGCGTGTCGGTCTATAGACGATAGCAAGCATGGCGACAGGCCGCCGCCATGCTTGTATTCGTGTGGGCACGTCCGCGCAATTGCGTAAGCGCGAAACACATGTACGACGAAACCGTCCGATCCGACGTCCGACCGCGCAATACGACGGTCGGAGGCGAGGGTTTTCAACGCTCTCCGATGCTACGAACACCCTCTCTCCCAAGGTCGTTCCGGTAGTCCGCACGTCGGATCGGAAGGTTTCGTCGTACATGTGTTTCGCGCTTTAAAGCTACGTTCATGCATGCGCACGCTGCACGTGCTTGTAAACAGGGGGCAGTAGTCGGGGCTCCATGCTTGCAATTGTCTATAAGGAGTATTCAATGGGCGCCATATTTGCGGGTGCTGTCTAGAGCGGATGCTCAGAACGAGCCCCCATTATTAGGCTGCTAAAACCGGCCGTTTTCACGGTGTGGAATGCACGTTGCAAAAGAACCCTGGAAGCTAGCCATCAGCACGCGCTCAGCAGTCGTGCACACAGCTATGGCTTCCAGTGAATACTTCCTAAAGGATTATATCTCCTCTCATTGAAGGAATTGAGAACATAGTCAGACTCTCCACTTTATAATAATAATAATAATAATAATAATGTGTTTTATTCCCTTTACAAATACATACAAATAATGCTGGCCTACAAAAGCAGTATTCTGCTTGTGCGTAGGACCAGACAATCCAGCGAAATACATATTAATACATCATCATAAAAAAAAAATATATCGGACGAGTGCAATGTGGCCATTGATACCAACATTAATACAAAACAAAGCCGCAATTCGGCACAAAACAAAATGAACACAACTATCGAAATCATGAAGAGGCAAGTATACACTGATGGGAGTAAAGCAGTGTTTATGGAGGTAATGAGAGGCACCAGTTTTTTATTTCTTTTTTTAGTACTTTTATCGAATTTATTTTCATTAAAGGCTCAGTGAGCTCATTAAATAAGGTGGGAATAAAGTGAGCTCTGCATCTTTTTCCGTATCGCGTGTAAATTCTGGGGATTATAAACCTTTCTTAGCGCCTTAGGTCCCTAGGCTTGTCCACTGGAACCTTGAACGTTGCATCGTAGAAATAATTTATAAACGTAACGTATCTATGAAAATTTTTAAAGAATAAAATTTGGAGCTTCTTTGCTTTATCTTCCATATCTAATGTTCCGTATGTAGTTCCGTATGTGATGTTTTTAACCATATGTTTTAAAATTCTGTTTACTGCATTTGTCTTGTATGGAGAACAGTGACCATATAAAGTGATTCCATATCGTAGAATTGATTCAGCTAACGACCTGTACACCAGTAGTCTTATCTTTACGCTGCACAAGCTTCTTATTCTGTACAGATATGCTGAAACGGCACGTAGTCTTTTAGTCACAAATTCCACATGTTGATTCCATGATAAATGTTCGTCGACGTATAATCCTAGATATTTTACACAATTATCGTATGGCAAAGGTTTACAAGTACAATTATTACACGGTGTCGAATGAAGTAAAATTCTAGGTGACATATCAATACGTTTATGAGAATTTCGGAAACACAGTAACTTAGTTTTGGCAAAATTAACGGAAATGGCATTTGAGTTAAACCAACCTATTAGTTCATTTATATCTCTTTGGAAGACTAAAACAGCATCATCATAGTTTTCATAAGGTAAAACTAGCACCGTATCGTCAGCATACTGAAATAGCTTAGATCGTAGAGGTAGAATACCCAAATCATTTATGTAAACGTTAAATAAAATTGGTCCCAGAGTGCTACCTTGTGGTACACCACATTCGACTTTAACTGTACTACTTATATTATTCATAATTTTAACCATTTGTTGCCTGTCGTTAAAGTAATTCTGAAAAAAGTTATAAAACTGTCCCCTGAAGCCCAATCTGTAAAGATTTTCAAGTAACAGAGAATGATCAATGGTATCAAAAGCCTTCGATAGATCTATAAAAAGTGCCAGGGCAATCTTGTTATTGTCTAGTGCTTGATTAACACAGTCAGAAAAATCTTCTAAAAGTGTAATAGTACTTTTTTGTTGTCGAAAACCATATTGCGTACTAGAAAATAAATTAAATTTATCACAAAAATTGGTCATTGTTAGTTGTACCCACTTCTCGATTATATGAGCTTGTTGGGAGCTGGGACGAAACTAACCAGCTCGGACAGCGTTTGGATTCGAAGTGTTTTAATCGCTCGCGCTGCAGAGGCAGCTGAACCTCGTCGTCGTCGTTCATGGCGTAGGCTGGCTTTGAGTGTCGCTACAAGGCTCCCCCCTGTGGAGCCGTGGGCCCTGGAAGGGTCCATGTGATGTGCTTGGTTCTTGTTGCAAGCGCCGAAGGTGCTGACGGGGCAGGGGCGGTTGCAGAGGATGCAGGAGATATGGCTTCTAGGTAGGCCGGCTTGACACGGTCGGTCGTGACTACGTCACGACGGCCGTTTACGTCTAGTGTAAAGGTCTTGGCTTGCCGATCCAGCACTCTGAACGGGCCGTCGTAGGCCGGTTCCAACGGTCGACGGACCTGGTCGCGACGTAAGAAAACGTGCGAGCACGTCTCGAGGTCTTGGCTAACGAAGACGTGTCGATGGCTCCGTTGAGCTGGTAAAACGGGACGGAGAAGACGAAAGGTTTGTCGAAGGTCGTCAATGTAGCCACTGGGGTCTTCTCTTGACTCAGATGAGGGTGGAGAGAAGAACTCGCCGGGTAGGCGCAGTGGCGTGCCGTAGACCAACTCGGCTGCAGAACAGCCAAGATCTGCCTTAAGCGCCGAGCGAAGGCCCAGCAGAACGAGAGGAAGGTGGTCGGCCCAACGTTCTCGCGGCTCGTATGTGGCAAGAGCTGCCTTCAACTGGCGGTGCAGCCGTTCCACCATGCCGTTAGCCGACGGATGGTAAGAGGTGGTGTGGATGTGTCTGATGCCTAGGACGGTGGTGTGGGCGGCAAACAGAGCGGACTGAAATCGCCGTCCCCTGTCAGTAGTGACCACAGCAGGGCAGCCGAAACGGGACACCCAGCCGTCGACGAAGGCTGTAGCGACTGTTTTCGCTGTGATATCAGGGACAGGGAATGCTTCGGGCCATCTCGTGAATCTGTCCACGCATGTCAGCAAATAGCGGGCTCCCTGTGATGATGGAAAGGGTCCCACTAAGTCGATGTGGACGTGTGCAAACCTGGAGTCCGGTGGTCGGAAGGGTGAGATAGGGGTGATTGTGTGTCGCGTGATCTTGACGCGTTGGCACTGCACGCAGGTTCGTGCCCAGCAACGGACATCCGCGTTCATGCTGGACCAGAAAAAACGAGCAGTTATTAATTTCTGTGAAGCACGGATTCCTGAGTGGCTCTTGTTGTGCAGGTTGTTGAAAAGAGCGCGACGAAATGCTGGTGGTACGAATGGTCGGGACACACCAGTTGTCGTCTCGCAGGTAACTGTTGTTGGAGAAAAGGGCAGAGGAACGTCAGCAAACTTCAGTGATCCAGGAGCGGCACGCAAGCGTTGCAGCTCGGGATCGTTTGCTTGAGCAGTTGCCAGCTCCTCCCAGTTCACCAGATCTGCTGAAGAAATAGCACTGACGCGGGAGAGTGCGTCCGCAGCAGTGTTTTCATGGCCTTTGACATGGCGGATATCGACGGTAAACTCTGATATAAAGCAGAGGTGCCGGATGTCACGTGCTGTGTGGTCGCTGTGGTTTCGTTGGAATGCGAACGTCAAGGGCTTATGATCTGTAAGAACATGGAAGCTCCGGCCTTCGAGGAAGTGGCGAAAGTGTTTGATGGAAAGGTACACAGCCAGAAGTTCGCGTGCGAAAGTACTGTACTTCTGTTCTGGGTTCTTGAGCTTGTGGGAGAAAAATCCGAGAGGCTGCCAGCCATTGACATTCTGCTGAAGAACCGCACCGACCGCTACGCTTGATGCGTCGGTGGCGAGTCGTAGCTCTGCGTTTGGAACGGGGTGAATGAGCATTGCAGCGTCAGCGAGCGCCTTTTTCGCTGAAGAAAAAGCAGACGCTGCATCTTCGTTCCACTCAAGAGGCGCAGAGGGTTCTTTCTTGGTGGCGAGAAGATCCGTCAACGGCTTGATCAGTTCCGCACAACTCGGTAGGAAACGGCGATGAAAATTTAGGAGACCTAGAAATTCGCGCAGTTTCTTCAGAGATGTTGGCTGCGGAAAGTCTCGAATGGCCGTAACTTTTGCATCTAAGGGTTTGATGCCTTGAGGTGTTACCTGATGCCCCAGAAATTCGATGGTCGTCACGCCGAAGGTGCACTTGTTCTGGTTGATGACCATCCCGTAGTCATCGAGGCGGGTGAAAAGAGCGCGCAGGTGCTCCTCATGCTCGGCCTCTGACGTGCTGGCGACCAAGAGATCGTCGAGGTAAGCAAAGACGAAGTCTAGACCTCGGGTGACCTCGTTGATGGTACGTTGAAATGTTTGGGCGGCATTCCGCAAACCGAACGGCATCCTCACATACTCAAAGAGGCCAAATGGTGTGGTGATGGCGGTCTTTGGTATGTCGGCAGGCTCAACCGGAATCTGGTGGTATGCCTTCACCAAGTCGATCTTAGAGAATATCTGGCAACCAGCCAGATTCGTTGTGAAGTCCTGTATGTGGGGTAGCGGGTAGCGGTCAGGCTGGGTGTTGGCATTGAGGGCGCGGTAATCGCCACATGGTCTCCAGTCGCCTGGGTCTCTCTTGGGGACCATGTGCAGTGGGGAGGCCCAGTTGCTCGATGATGGACGAACAATGCCAAGTTCCAGCATATGCTCAAACTCACGACGAGCAATGGCAAGGCGTTCTCCAGACAGCCGTCGAGGACGAGCGAAAACAGGGGGGCCAGAGGTGACAATGTGGTGAGTAATGGTGTGCTTCACCGGTGACTCCCTTGTGTGTGGCCTCGTAAGGTTCGGAAAATTCGCGAGAATTTTCTCATAGGCCGTTGATGGTGAAAACGCTCTAAGTCCTGTTGCCATGGTCGTAGAGAGCACGCCATTCACGGAGAGGTGTGTCGTCAGGTCGATGAGGCGTCGTGAATGAATGTCGACAGCCAGTTTGTAGAATTTGAGAAAGTTCGCTCCCAGGATAGCCTGCTTGATGTCGGCGACGATGAACAGCCACCGGAATGTGCGGCGCAGTCCAAGGTTGATTGTGAGGGACCGCTGACCGTAGGTGGCGATAGGTGAGTTGTTGATCGCTTGGAGCGGGGAGGTCTTTTGATTGCGTTGTCGGTCCCAAACAGAGGCCGGTAGAACGCTGACCTCGGCACCTGTGTCGACAAGGAAGCGATGGCCAGCCACCTTGTCAACTACATAAAAGAGGCGGCTTTCCTGTCGACTGGTATCACTTGCCGCCGTCAGTGCCCGGTCCTCGTAGTTTCCCACCGAAGAGCAGGGTTGGCTGCACTTTCGGGCATCGTTGCCGAAGGTACGGTGGTACCAACACACGCCCGAGCCCGAGCCAACTTGACTGCTGTTTGAGAAGGCGGAGCGCTCTACTGAGTTTGAGTGGGAGCGCAGGCTTCGGCGGGAGTGTGACCGTTGTTCACGACGTCGTGACAAGGGTGCGAGCTTGGCAAGCTGACGACTGATGGTCTCGACATGGTCCTCAAGACGACAAAGACTGGAATCTTCCGATGTTGTTGTGGGCGTTCTATTGGCGACAGCGCTGATGCCAGCGGCCCGCGAGTAGTCGGCGACGCGGTCGGCAAGCTCAGCGAGCTTGTCGAGCGACATGTCTTCCGCGGCTGCCAGAACCGGGACCATGGTCGATGGGAGCCGTTGTAAAAACAACTCACGCAGGAGGTGGTTGTTGGGGTCTTGGTTCTGGGTTCCCAGCAGCTGACGCATTCGGTGGAGAAGCTGGGACGGTCGTCTGTCACCGAGCTCCTCGGTGTTAAGGAGTTGTTGAAGCCTGCTGCGCTCCGACTCGGTCTTGCGGTCAAGAATGGCGGCCTTCAGTTGGTCGAAGGGGCTGACCGGATCCGGAGTGGCCAGAATGTCGGCTAGCTCCTCGGCGACGTCGGCTGGCAAGGAGGACACGGTGTGAAGGTACCGCGTCTCCTGGCTGGTGATGTGCCGGAGACGGAACTGGGCCTCAACTTGCATGAGCCATACGATCGGATTTTTCGGCCAAAAAGGTGGCAGCCGAAAAGTCTGGATCACTGCCAAGGGTGAATGAAGGGCGTCACCGTCAGGAGCGTTGGACGCGCCGGCATCCATCGGAGCAGCAGACCTTGAAGGAGCGAGTTCGATTCCGGGTCACCAAATCTGTTGGGAGCTGGGACGAAACTAACCAGCTCGGACAGCGTTTGGATTCGAACTGTTTTAATCGCTCGCGCTGCAGAGGCAGCTGAACCTCGTCGTCGTCTTTCATGGCGTAGGCTGGCTTTGAGTGTCGCTACAAGCTAATGCAGGCAGAATGGAAATGGGCCTGTAGCTCTCCAATTCCTGTTTTTTACCCTTTTTATACAGTGGACGTATAATAGATATCTTCAAGCCCTTAGGAATTCTTCCGGTATGAAAGGTGTCATTAATTATTTTCATTAAAACGTGTTTTAATTTATCAAAATTATACCGAATATCTCGTACTCTAATATTATCAAATCCTGGTGTTTTAGTTATTGGCATAGCATTTATAATCCTCAAAAGTTCGCTCTCCGTCATCTGAGATAAGTACGCCGAACTAGACCATCTGACCTGTGAAGTGACGGGATTGGGACCATTCAGTGAAATGTTATTTTTTATGCTTCTTACGGAGTCAACAAAACACTTATTAAATGATTCCGATAACGTTAAATAAGAATCTAATCCAGGAAAGTTTTTTTTAATTGTATCATCCACGCTATTTTTAGACTTTCTGCCAGTTAATTGGTTTACTAGGTTCCATATCTTTTTTATATTTCTTCTCGAAGAGGTGAATTGATCTAAGTAATGTTTCCCTTTTTCTAAACGTATTTTTGCTGTCACTTTATTGCGCACTGCACGAAATTCATTTCTTAGTTCTGTGTTTTCGGGATTTTGCTTACATCTGCTCCAAAGCCTTTCCTTTTGATCACACAATTATAATATTTCCTCGTTTATCCAAACATTCTCAGGTTTTCGTTTCTTCAACTTTATTTTTCTAGCACCTTTAGAATAAATATCTTGAAACGTGTCCACTAGTTTGTCATAGGCTACAATATGATCGAACTCGCATAAAGAATTCCAATCGAACGATTGTATTAAATTATTGATTTTTTTAGCATCTAGTATAACTTTGTACCCATTTTCTAAATCTACATTTTCAGCAGTAATTTCGCCCAATATTGAAAGTACAGTAATGTAATGGTCAGCTACCTTTTGCTTAATGACTCCAGATAGTGTTTTCAAATTACTAATTCTTATAACTATGTGGTCAATACATGATTTTGTAATTTTATTACCATAATATTCCTCCCTCGTATAATTTTGAATGACATTTTCTAGACCAAATAAAGCGAGGGTATCAAGATAACGCGGTACTCCCTGTTTATTTTCATTCAGTACATCAATATTGAAGTCTCCTGCCAGAACTAGGTATTTGTTGTTATTAAATTTTTGAAGGAATTGTTCCAATTCATCACAGAATATAGGTATATTTGAACTGGGTGGCCTGTATACAGCACACACAACATAAGAAAAATTCATTTTGTGAACAATAGCAGCACACACTTCTGCTTGCACAAATGAAACATCTATTTTTTCTGATAAGCATTTGTCATTTATGTACATCATAACTCCGCCACCTTTCCTTTGTTCTCGGCACAAGCAGAAAAAATGAAAGACTGGCAAGGAAAATGTAGCGCAACCTGCCTCATCAGTGTGTTGTTTAGTGTGTTGATTAAGTGTGTTGATTAAGGAACGTGAGTACCAGGCTTCCAACGCGCTTTTTAGGCGCCATCCAACTTGTCGCTCGTTACTAATAATCTTGGTCGTGACGTCAAGGGTGCCACCAAAACATCTCGTCGCTAATTGGCGACGTGAGCGATCGAAGGCGTCGCAGTGGTCGACCTTCCACGACTGGTCGAATGCTGACTTTGACGTCAGCAAAGGATTTCTCATCGACGGAAATAAGAATAATGTAAGAACTTCAATTTGACGGTGTTGGTAATGTTGCTTTGAGAGCGCAATGATCTCAAGCTTCCACCATGCTCATTACAAACACCATCGAACTTGTTAGCGAGGTAATGATGTCACGAGAGGGAACCATAGGAGGGCGACACCAAAACATCTCGCCGCCCATAGCTACTGACGAGTATAAAACAATTGGGTGTCTCCACGTCAAATCGTTCAATGATGGTCCGGGTCAGTGTTGTATGGAACGGCGTTCCAAGGAACGGCTTTCCTGGAACGCGTTTCTTTTAGGAGGAACGAAGGAACGCCGCCGTTACATTTTACATCGATGTAACTGCAGCATGCCTAGCCTTTCGTTCGTTTTCATCCATGTCAGAAAGAGAATGTTTGGTATGGAACGTGGTTACATACGCATTTGAGCATTTGACCGCAGCGTGACATGGATGAAAACGAACGAAAGGCTCGGCATGCTGCGACTCAGCGTCTACATAGACAAGCACCACCAGAGCTTCGCCCCAATCAACATCATTCACCACGTAGAGATGCGGTTGTTTTTTTCTCTTTATTGCAACACAAACAACACATGTCAATTCAATTTAAAAATGCGCTGCAGGACTTCTGCAGGGCATGTTAAAGGGATGGTGAACCGAAATTTGGATATCAAAAAAACAATGCAGGAGATGTAGGCGGGACGCTACAATCTCTACAACACTACTAGTAAGGCGATATCTCGAATGGACGGCCGTATTTTTGGAAAAAGAGGTCGAGATTAAACCAGGCCGACGAGGCGCATGACGTCAAGATACCTAGTTTTCTCCTCTCTTCGCTTCGCTCCCTCAAGGCCGCGAGGCGGAGAAGACGCGAGGCCGTTCCCTCTCCTTCTCGGAGAAACAGGACGTCAACATTCTTGCCAAATGCGCCTCTTTTTTTGAAAAATACGGTCATCCGTTCGAGATGTCGCTGTATGAGGACGTCCAATCTTCCATTCCTGGTAATTTTTCGTATTTTTTACCTTCTATTGCGAAAATCTCGATCAAATATTAACGGGCAGTTTTTCTAAACTCAGTGTGCCTGACAAAGAAATCAAGCAGACCGCCGAGATCTCTTTTAGAGAAAACTGCAGCCTTTTTCGCTGCTATCGTTCCATGTGAACGAACATGGAAGCTGCCCAAGCGGGCGTCCCTGACGCTGCTAATACAGCACTAAGCATAACTCCTGAGCAACATCAAAGGAACGAAGCACGCGTAACGTCGCAACCAGATGATGGGCACTCTATTTGCTCCGATGGTTCCGTTGCATCGTCGACTACAGACATCAACTGTATGGAACAAGACGACGATACCGGAGGTCCGTATCAAGAAGTTAGATCAAGAAAGAGAACTCGGCGCAACAACTCCAACTCCAGCTCGGAGACAATAATCCAATCAAAAGCCATCGAAGAAGGGCTCACTGTTGTGTTCGCCCCTGCGGATACTGAGACGTTAATAACATCCCTCAGTAGTGTGAAGCTCTCAAGAGCTCTAGAAAACTCCTGTCCTGAGGGCATTCACGAGGTTCGCTTTAACAGCAGATTGAATGTCATCGCAGTTGACACCAGAAATGGTGAAGCTACAAGAACATTGCTCAACTTGAAGGCTCTCTGTGGAATTCCGGTGATGTCATACTCTCCACTGGCTGGAGCAACGGTGAACGGAATGATTCAGGACGTCGACAAAGAGCTTTCTAATGAGGAGATCACCTCGCATCTCAGGTCCAATATTAACGTTGGTGCCGTCCGACGCCTAGGGAAGTCTAGCACAGTCAAAGTCACCTTCCGGGGCAAGATTCTGCCAACCCATGTTCTTCTGGGGCATGTACGCCATCCCGTCCATCCTTTTCAAGAAAGGCCCATCCAGTGCCTTAACTGCTTTGGATTCGGACACAAGCGAGTGACCTGCAAACGCCCCAAAAAGTGTGAACATTGTGGAAAACCACATGAATCAACAGACATCACATGTCAATCAATGCCTGCCAAATGTGTCAACTGCGGCCAAGAACACGAAGCTACAGCACGCTTCTGCTCGAAGCGAAAGAAACTAGGGGAGATCCAGGCGTACTCAAAATCCAACTTGGTGGGATTTCATGTCGCAAAATCCGCCTTGGAGTACGATGAGCTCTTCCCGGAGATGGAATCTACTCAAGCAGGCAGCAATGCCACGAAAGAACCGACTGTCACTGAACTCAAGAATTCAGGAGAGCGAGACATGGAAGAAACTTTAAAAGATGTGACTACATCATCGCTATTCACGACGGTCGTCAAACAAACAAAACCTAAAAGTCAAGCAACTAAAAAAGATTGCCAGGGTTCAAGTCCACACGAAAAACAAAAAATCAATATGCCGGCTGCATCAACACCTCAGGAATCCCAGACCTTTTCTGCACCCACCACTCAGCCGCAACCCTGCCATTCGAAGGACACAAATGCGCAACCAAAAACTTCCTTTGGAGACAGTTCACCTGAATGGATGTCTTTTGTCAAGGCCGCAGTCAAGATCGCTCTCAGCGTACTTAAAAGCATCGAATCAACCTGGGCAAAGACACTTACTACCATAATCCAAGCAGTGCTCCCTCTTCTTGAGGGATGCTAGGGTCATCTTCTACTCAAATTAAGGGTTTTACCACCAGTACTTCAGTGGTGTCCGCAGGAGCTACCATACCCGACACGCCCAGTCGGGCAGACACTCTCAGTAGAAATGGCAGAGCCCGCTTATGGCAGAGCAACGCCGAGCGGCCATAACTAGAGTCTGGCAATGGAACTGCCGGGGGTACCGCAACAAACGTGGGGCCCTAGCGCAGTACATTGCCGGACTCGACAAACCCCCCGACATAATAGCACTCCAGGAAACTGGAACCGAGACACCCTCACTTTCGGGCTACAAGGTGCTTGTCCCTCGCATATGCCAGCGCGTGGCAGTCCTAGCAGCAAACCACGTAAATGCCCGCATGCACGAACTCAGCGACGAGAGCATAGACCACGTGCTTATAGAAATTATTCCCGAGAAACGCCACTGGCCCTCGTTCTTTATTCTCAACGTATACAGTCCGCCACGCAACAGGCACGAGAATTTTAGCAAACTGTTTGCGCGCGCGCTTAAACTTGCACGGAACCAGCTCCTCATAGTAGGCGACTTTAACGCGCCGCACTCGGCCTGGGGGTACACTCGCCCTATGGCCAAGGGCACCCGACTTTACCACTTAATCTGCCAACAACGCCTCTCTATCCTGACCGACCCGGAGCAGCCCACGAGGACGGGCAACAGTGTTACCCGCGACACGTGCCCGGACCTCGCGCTGACGAGATGCGAACGGTGGTCGGAATGGTCAAACCTCGAGGTGAACCTGGGAAGCGACCACGCCATAGCCCAAGTGGACATCGCCGTCTCGCCAGGAAAAAAGTTCCTCCGGAAACAAGCCCTGACAGACTGGGACAGGTTTCGTGCAGCACGCACGGCCACACACAGCGAGCGAGAGCACGAGGATGCTTCCCTTGCCAGCTGGACCGAGCGCCTAGTGTGCGACAAGAACACCTATACGGAAACTCTCAACCTGACAACAGACACTCCCGAGGTGGACAGGCACCTGCTCCACTTGTGGGAGGCAAGGCACGGTCTGATCAAGCGCTGGAAGCGCCAGAAGCTAAACCGCAAGCTCAAGAAACGGATCGCGGCAATCACGACGGAAGCGCTCGAGTACGCAACCCAACTGGCGCTTTTCAACTGGAACAAAAAGTGCACCGATCTCCAGGGAAAACTGGGGACCAAGGACGCGTGGCAGTTCTTGCGACACCTCCTGGACCCTAGCAAAAGTAAACGCAATACAAGCCAGAACCTCCAGAAAATTGTGCGCGACTTCCCCGGCACCAACCAGGACCTCCTCGAACAGCTCAAACTACGGTACATCGGCTCGTCCCCGGACGAGGTGTATCATGACTACGAAGGCGAGCCAAACCCAGAACTCGACGTCCCCTTCAGCTTCGAAGAGGTATGGAGCGCGCTTCAAGACCTGGGCCGTAATACGGCACCTGGCGAGGACCGCGTCCAAAACACGCTGCTTCGTAACCTAGACGCGGGATCAGTTCAGACCCTCTTAAAACATATCAACCAGGTATGGGAGAACGGCGAGCTCCCCAATGAGTGGAAACACTCGGAAATTATCCTAATCCCCAAACCTGGGAAGGAGCTCTGCCTCGACAACCTGCGACCGATCGCCCTCACGTCCTGCGTGGGAAAGCTGATGGAACGGGTCGTTCTCAAACGGCTGCAGCCACACATGGAGGAAACGGGCGTGTTCTCGCACACCATGTTTGGTTTTAGAGAGCACTTGTCAACCCAGGATGTCATGCTACAGCTAAAAGAGGACATCCTCGACCCCATCTCCAGGACGACGACCCAAGCAGTGCTCGCCCTGGACGTCAAGGGAGCTTTTGATAATGTGGGCCACCAGCTAATCCTCCGAAACCTGACAGTCACCAATTGCGGTTCCAGAATGTACAACTACCTGCGGGACTTTCTACGGAACAGGACAGCCACCATTGGTGCAGGTGACCTCCGCACGGACGTCATCAACACCCCCAACAGGGGCACTCCGCAGGGGGCGGTGCTCTCGCCAACCTTGTTCAACCTGGCAATGAGCGGGCTGCCCCCGATTCTGGAACGCATCCCGCACATCAAACACTCTCTGTACGCGGACGATCTCACAATTTGGACCGTGTCCGGGTCTGACGGACAGAAGCAGGACGCGCTTCAGGCGGCAGTCGACGAAGTTCAACGGTACTTACGCCAGGGTCACCTGCATATCTCGGCAGCCAAATCGGAATTGATCCTAGTCTGCAAGACGCCAAGGTCCCGCCGCAACTCGGAGCCCAGAGACGAGTTACAAGTCTTCCTGGACGACGGCTCTCAAATCCCCGTGGTTCCGCGTGCCAGAATCCTGGGTCTCCACCTCCAGGAGGACGGAAAGGCGACCCATACCCTCACACTCCTCCAAAATCAAGTCACCCAGATTCTACGCATCATGCGCCGGGTCGCCAGCCGGCGGCACGGCCTCAGGGAAGACGACACGATCAAACTGGTTAACGCCCTGGTGGTGTCGCGCATCATCTACGCCACACCCTATCTCAATCTCACCAAGGGAGACGAGGACAAGCTAGATGTCCTCATACGCAAAGCGTATAAGACGGCCCTCGGACTCCCCCCGTACACCTCCACAGAGAAGCTACTCAAGCTCGGCGTCCACAACACTTTTAGGGAGCTGGTGGACAGCCACCTTGCCACTCAGCGAGACCGACTCGCCCAAACCCCTGCGGGCAGAAAGGTTCTAGAGTCACTCAAGATTCCCTTCCAATGGGACAGAGAAGAAACCACGGCACCCCTCCCGAGACACATCTGGAGCCAAATCAAGGTGCACGCGATCCCCCGCAACATGGACCCGACGCTCCACGCGGAACGCCGCAAGGCTTGGGCAAGATTCTACCAAAAGGCGTATGGCAAACGGGCTGATATCCTGTACACAGACGCGGCCACATATGCCTATCAACGGAATGCAGCGGCAATATGCGTCGTGGATGGAACTGGGAGAACCCGAATCACGGCGTCGCTGCGCACCTCTAATACGACCATTGCAGAGGAATTCGCCATCGCCATGGCCATTGGGCTCGGAAAAGATCACATCACCATCATGAGCGACTCACAAGCAGCACTGCGTCGCTTCCTAGCAGGCCGTGTCTCGCCGAAGGCACTCAAGGTCCTCACCCAGAGAGACCTACAGGGCTTCCCCACAGTGGAACTTATATGGATCCCAGGACATGACGAGGTGAAAGGCAATCGGTGTGCTGACACCGAGGCCCGAGCATGCACCCTCCGGGCCGCTCCTGCCGCCGCGTCACGACTAGGGCTAGGTGCATACTTTATTCCGGTGCCAAACAGGTACTCCGAAATCAGGGCCTACCATCGTGGCCAGAGGCGTGAATACCCGCCGCCACACAAAAATCTCAGCAGAGAGGACGCGGTCGCTTGGCGCCAGCTCCAGACAGGAGCGTTCCGCAACCTAGCTCTCTTGCACAAATTCTATCCTACAAGCTACAAAGCCGAATGTCCGCACTGCGGGCAATATGCTTCCTTACTACACACCGCGTGGTTTTGCACCGCTCACCCTAACATCCCCCCCTCCCACCCTGATCCCACTCCTGAAAACTGGGAAGCCGCACTGCTCAGCTCGTCTGCCGCTGACCAACTAAAGTTGATCGAGCGGGCGAGGCTGACAGCCGACAGCGTTGGGGCCCTGGACTAAGGGAACCACCCAGAGACCAATATACAGGCATAATAAAGTTTATTCCTCCTCCTCCTCCTCCTCGCTGTATGAGTGATGTTTTGGTGTTTGTAGCATCTCGTTTCACGCTTTTGCCGCGTGTTTTGGGAAATTCAAATTTCGGTTCAGCATCCCTTTAAAAGGCTCTCATTTCCAATAGCGCATTACAAAGTCCTAGCCATTCGGGCTTAAGCTCGGGCATGGAAAAAACACTCGTCGACCTGCTTCACGAGAGAGAAGAAACAGAAGCGAACTTCTTTGGCAGTTGGGTCGGCATGCCGTACTGCCAGGCGTGAGCGCCAAATACTGCAAGGACCTTCCCCCCCCCCCCCCCCTCCAGAAAAAACATATCAAATGGCACGCAGTCATCGTTCATCACTTTCAAAAAACGAATGCCAGACGGGGTGATGCACAGCTCTTTCTTTAGCGTGCGCTGGAGCACGTTTCAGAAAAATACGGCATCCATGCAAAAAATGAATACATGCTCTACAGCCTCAGGTTGCTTGCATAAAAAACAATCAACCGTCCACGGCATAGGCGTAGACTTCCGGTGGGCATCGGGGCTCGTGCCCCCCCCTAATAAGATCCGGAAAAGGGGGAGGGGGGCAGAGCCCCCCCCCCCCCCCCCCCCCCGCGTCCGGGCCATGAACCTTACCGAGACGCTGTGTACGTGCCATGTAACGAGCTTATATAGTGGTGGCATGTAAACAGAATAACGCCCACGCTGCCTTTATTCCCAGCGCGCTTTCGTTAGCTTCAATCTCCAGTTCTCGCGAAAAGGTTACGCGAAGCACTCCCTCCCCCCCCCCCCCCCCCCCCCCCCCCGGGAAAATGGAAGGTCTACGCCGCTGGTCCACGGCACATCAAAACCCTTTTCCTTCAGTCACACCTTGACCGGCAACGTATTGGTGTGTAACTTAAAAAATAACGTTTTCACCGAAGGTACACACATACGCTTAACTCGGCTCAGCACATCTTGGCCGCCATGACAAAAAACAGTTCGGTACATCGGCGTCGGAAACAAACTCACTATCAATCGCGCGCGAGCGTTTTCTTGCTCACTAAAGACAAATAATTGAAAGAAAAACGAGCAGACAAAAACAATACCGTATCAACGACCTCCTTTTGAAAACCCTCGAGTCTTGTTTGTTTGGTTCAGCATCCCTTTAAAGTGTCGAAATTAGAGTGAGCACTCAAAACTGCGAAAAACTTCAGCGCTTACAGACAGTCCTTGTTAATAACCACTTACCAGAACCCCTTTCAGTATCATCAGGCCTCCCTCAAGGATGGGTCCTCGGTCCCGTTATGCTTTTCATATACATCAATCAC